GACCTTATAGCCAGTGATCATTAGGTGGTTGAGGAGAGCCTGTGTCCCTTTTTAGCATTCTGATTTATTTGAGCTGCAAATCAGCAAATCATCTACGTACTGTAGCAAGGCGCAGTTGAAATCAGTATGTGGAAATTTGGCCAGATCAGTGGCTAATGCTTCTCCAAAGAGCATGCGGGAGTTCTTAAAACTTTGTGGAAGGCAGGTCCAGGTAAGTTGGCTTTTTCGTCCACTCTCTAGGTCTTCCCATTCGAAGGCAAAAATGAGCTGGCTGACAGGTGCGACTTGCAGGCAGCAGAAGGTGTCTTTTAGGTCAGGTAAACCAGGCCACATCAGGGGGAAGCAAACCTAGGAGGGTTTAAGGGTTGGGAACCACTGAGTCCAGAGTCGTGGTGAAAGAGTTGATGGTACGGAAGTCTTGCACCAGGCAGTAATCTCTGTTGGGCTTTTTTCCTGGGGAGGAGGGTAATGTTCCAAGGCAATTGGCAGCCTATCAGAATTCCAAACTGTTTCAGGTGGGAGGGGTACAGTTGAATACCATATGGGCCTCCCTGGACATAGGGTATTGTTTGACAGCGATAGGAGTCGCTGTTATGTGGAGCTCAGTTATAAAAGGGGCATGATTTTTGGCAAGTCCTGAGGGGTTGTCTTCAGCCCAGACTTCTGGAAAAAGTGTCTTTAAAATTTCAGGGTTCTGGCTGTCTGGTAATTCTGCCTGATGGAGGCACCATTCTTTTTCTCAGGGCACAGTCAGAATCAAAATTAGGTCTGAGGCCGAGGCTGCAGGTTCAAGCTTGAGTGTTGCTGGATGGTTTGGAGTTGTGACCCTCAGCTTAGAAAGGAGGTCATGTCCCAGGAGAGGAATGGGACATTCAGGCATGTATAGGAATTCATGTTTGGCTAAATGTCTCCCAATTTTACAAGACTGGCTTAAGGCAGAAGCTTTTCCTGGATGGAACGCCAGAGGCTTTGACCACTTGGACCCGTCCAGGTCCCAGAGGTGCAACAAGCTGAGTTACAACTGAATGTTCAGCTCCACCATCCACCATAAAAGTCACAGGTTTGCCCCCTATTTTTGCCATGACCGTGGGCTCTCAGGGACCCAATTGGATAGAGCCCGATCTGTCCTAGTTGTCCAGATTGGACAAGGCAAAGGGAGGTTCAGGTTGGGCTGGGCTGGGCTGGGCTGGCTTGTATCCTTTTTTTTTCTGTAGGAGAAGTGGGCACTTGTCCTTCCAGTGCCCATGGTGTTTACAGTAGGTGCATTGATCGGGTCCAGAGAGAATGGTATTCCAGTATTATTATTATTATTTATTTATTTATTGATTGATTGATAGTAGGGTCCCTGGGATCCTTTTGATTGTCGGTAGAGCTTTCTGATGTTTTGGGCCTCAAGAGGAGGTGCCTTACCTAAAGCTGCTTCAAGGAGGGAGGGCTTCTGATGATCTCTGTGGTCAGCCTCATGTTGTTGTTCCCTCATTTTTTCTTTCTCTGTTTACAAAAACCTTTTGGGCATTCTCAGTTAACTGAGTTGCATTCATGCCTGCAAAGCCCTCACTCTTTTGGATCTTTTTTTGAATATCATCAGCTGACTGAGCAAGGAAGGCTGAATTAACCATTTGTTGATGTCTTTGGGTTTCAGGATTGTAGGGTATATAGACTCGGTAGGATTCACACAATCTCATAGAATTCAGCTGGGCTTTCATCTGATTTTTGGATGATAGCTGTTACCTTTGACATGTTTACAGGCCTTTTTCCACCCTTTTTAAGACCTGCATTCTGATATCAGTTTAAGACTTCTACTCCTCCCCCTGTGTTATGGTTCCAGCCTGCTTGGCCTCTAGGCTTCAGCAACCCAGCTATCTGGGTCATCTAGCAGGAGGGGCTTGGGCCTTCATCCAGGCTTGGGCCCCATCCAGAATCTGGCGTTCCTCTGTGCTGAAGAGAGTCATAAGAAGTTGTGGACAGTCATCCCATGTAGGCTGGTGAGTTTGGAAGATGGCGGTTATGAGTTCTATGTGGCTTCTCAGTGTAAGAGGGATTGTGGTTTTTTTAGTTTAGAAGGTCACTGGTGCTGAAAGGCTAATGATATCTCAAAGGTTGTTGGCCAGGCGCTGGGAGGATTCCGGGATATTTACACAATGGCATTTGAAGATTAGCTGATAGTTCAGACTTTGTGGCCAATCAAAGTCAGTGTCTGAGGGGGATCTCTGCTGGCTCTAGTGGGAATGGTGACAATCCTGACTGCTTATCCGAAACCAAATGGAGTGGAGGAGGCGGAAAAACAGTGCCCGCCTGACTTGATGAATTGACAGAGACCAGGTTTGGTTGTGCTTGAGTCAGTGGAGAAACAGCATTGAATGGTGTCATTTAAGTAGGGACAGGTGTGGTTACAGGAGCGAGGTTAGAAATTGGTTGCTGTGGGTCCAGAGGAGCAGGTGGTGCCGGGGCAGAGACGGGAACTGGGACAGGCCCTAGCGAGGGGTGTGCCAGGGTGAAAATCTGGTCTGGGGCAGGCACCACTACTGGCATGGAGACAAGCCCTGGCACTGGGAGTGCTGGGGTGGAGGTGGAGTCAGGGAACATCACTGGAAGATGGGTGGGTATGGGTGTTGGTTGTGATGGCGGCAACTGGGAGGTAGAACAGGCAGCGCTTGCATAGGACTAGGGGCAGGCACTGGAGACGATGGAGGTCGTGGTGTTGTGGCCCGAGGTTGTGACATGTAAGGCAGTGTCGAGTCTGATTCTTCATGAGAAGGATCCTCAGAGGATCAGGATAAAGTCTCTTTGGTTGGGGTTGTTCAGGGAGGCTGCAGGGAGGCTTCTCTCACCAAGCCTACATTCTAACCTGTAGCCTTGGACTGACTCACACCCATTCTTGCTAGCTCGCTGGGTGTTTGTGGTGTACCCTTGATTGGAGTCTCAGACAGACAAAAGATGTGTGCCCCTCCTGAGGAGGTGACCAAGGCCTCGGGCCTCTCAGCCACTTTAAGGACAGTCCAGGCTTGAGGGGATATTTATCTCATTGTACGAGCCCCACTTGGCCTTTCTTAGACACATCCACAAAATCGTATATAACGATCTCAGTCAGACTCTTCAGGTCTGAGAGAGATCATCCCTCTCTTTTTTGTGGAGCCACATGGACCAGGTACAGAGGACAGTATTGGGTTGCATTCATTTGCACTCCCACTCTCCAGGCATTCAAAGATTAAACATTGGAAGCCCCCTCCCAGGGAGTCTCTCTTTTAGGGTAGCAGGCAGAACTGAAAATAAACCAAAACAAGTGAGAAACCACTTGTTCTCCTAGAGGGAGGGCCAAGCCCTCCTTCTGCCCAGGTGGGGCAGGATTAAACAAATTAACTAGGGTGCCCTGGGGGTCTTACCTTATCCAATGACTAGTTTGCACTAAACCAGATAAGCATCCTCACTCCTGGGTCCAGAAAACTGCAGGCAGTGAACAGTTAGTCCCCAGTCCTCTGAGGGTACGGCATCCTGCTGAGGGGCCAGGGAGGTTGCCTTTCTATTTGCAAGGGCTTCAACCGGTGATTTTAATCAGCACAGTTGATGTTTCCCGACCAGTGCACCAAATGTAATGGCAGACTTATAGTCCACAGTGTGGCAGCTGTTAGTGGTATACCAAGATCAGGCCAGAAAGAATTGAGAACACACCCAGAGATTGGAGGCAAGTTCTCTACAAAGTGATCAGCCCAGAGCTGGCAGTGAACAGGGTTTATATGGGTTAAGGGAAGGGGGTTGGGGATACAGAAGCAAGGCATTTATCATCAATTTAAGGCATTTATCATCAGTCCAAGGTTGAGGAAGTTACATTTAGTTTACATGATTTGATAGAAAAGCACACTGGATACAGACACTTCCTGAGAACAAAGGACAAAAAGAGAATTATGGTTGGAAGAGTTCTATTCGTAATTTTTTTGTTGTTGAAACAGGGTCTCTCTGTCTAGTTCAGGCTGACCTTGAACTCACTGTGTATCCTAGGCTGACCTCAAACTCATAGCAATCCTGCCTCAGCCTCCCAAGAACTGGGATTATAAGCATGTGCCACCACGCCCAGATATAAAATTTAAAAAGAGCATGTTTTTCAATAAGGAAAAATTATGTATCTTTTTGTTTGGTTGGTTGTGTGTCTGTTTTTGTGAAATTAAGTACTTGTTCTATAGGTATTTATAAAATTTCATTCCAAGCCCTTCATTTATCACAGGGTGGAGGTGGGCTAAAGTAGAGAACAAGATGTACCCTCAGTTCTTGTAATTTAATTTATAGAAATGGTAATGAATAGTAAATAAGACATTTACAAATCATGATATATGCTATGAAAACAATAAACAATAATGTGGTAGACAGTAAGAGAGAGATAATCAGGAACTGAGACCTGGTTGTTGAAAAGCTAGGTAGACAAAGACCAGTCAGATAAAGTGGGATAAGCCACTTTGAGTTGGAAAAAGAAATAGAAAGAAGGGCTTTGTAGGGACAGGAACCAGGTAAGGGAAGGAAAGAAGGAAAGAATATCCTGAGATGGATTTGTAAGACAAGCAGGGGTATTGACTGTGGTAATGAGTCGGGATTTAATTCCAAGTAGAGTGGGAAACTATTCAAGAGGTTTAAGTAATAGGAAGCTATTCAAGAGCTATTCAGGAATTCATTTTCACACTAAAATGATTTTTTAAATGGTTATTTAGGGATAAGAATAGAAGCAGTTGGAATATTAGCAATAGAACAGGAGAGAAATTATGGTGGTTTAGACAACAGTCACAACATTTGGTGGAAGTAAAGGAAATGGATGTAGCTGTATGTATTTTCCAGATAGGACTGACAGAATTTTCTGTTGGACTGTATATGGGAAGAAAGGGAGATAATTCCAAATAGTAGTTTTTGAAGAAAATATATAAAATAAGTCTGTTTAAGACATAATGTTTAATGCCAGTGTTCTATATGATAAATATTTTTCTCAGCACTTACCATTTTAATTTTATTTTATTTAGGCTTATGCATCTGGATGTGACATTGTAATACTAGGAAGTGATTTTGAAAGATTACAAATAATTCCAGGAGCTAAACATGGAAACATTCAAGTGGGATGTGTAGACTGTTCAATGCAACAAGGCAAGGTTTGTAATCCTGTGGTCATAATTTGTTTTGAATATGGTTTTTGTCAGAATAATCTCTAAAATATGGATTTCCTGTTGAAATTCTTTGTTTCAAGGATGAAAGGACTTGCTTTGTTTCAAGGACAAGGTGACTACATTTTTTTGGTTCTCTAAGACGTATTTTAGAGTGTCAGGAATTTTGTCTTTACATAATTATAAAAAGTAAAGAAATACAGTTACTCCTGTAGAACATGTCTCAAGCTTAGTTACTTATTTATAAATTAATTGGATTGAGGGACCAGAATGAGAAGAAGTCTTCAATCTGTTTACAGATTCTTTTTTTTGTCCAGAAGATAAATCATTTGCTAGAGTTGTATTTTGTAAGCAGGTAGTTATCGCCTTGTAACCTGTAGGTAAACATTTTATTGAAAGGATGATTAACTTCTAAAATTTATACTATTTTATTAATTTCCAAATCTATAAGAAAAATGAAAAATTTTCCTTGGACTTTTTTTGGATATGAAAAAGCAAAAAGATAACATTGAAGGTAAAATAGCAACAACAAAAACAAAAGAAACAGGAATATAATTTTCCTAGATTAGATTAAATATAGTTCTGTGTGGTACCAGAATGGGAGTCATACTAGTAGGAAGCATTCGATAGCTTAAAATAGCACTCTATAGGTGTAGATGATCATGTCTATTTATATTTGTAGCTATACTGGAATGAACTTTGCAAATTAATTTTTTCTCTATTTAAATGTATTGTTTGACTATGTGATTCCACTGGAACTCGTGTGTGTGTATGTGTGTTTGTGCGCACATGCTAGAGATTGAATACAGGGCTTCAAACATGCTGAGCATGCACTGTACCACTGAGCAACACCCCTGTCCCCAGCAGAACACTTTGTGAGTGGAATAAACATTGTCATGTAAGAGCTCATAGGCATAGTCTCTTTACAAATTTATCATAATTTCTGATGAATCTGGCAGTATGTAGTTACTGTTTGAGACTTACGGACACTCTTGATAAAAGGAGTTTCTAGTGTTGCAATCTAATATTTTCTACTACTAATACTTTCAACTTCTGTTCCTTTTGTTATCTTTATGTTCCTTCTCTTTACTGTAATTACAGGTATCTTATTTTTCGCCTATTTACATCTTTTATTCTCAAAGTACTACAAACATGATCTTTATTATGCTTTATTATTAAGCTAAAAATCTATTTCTTTCCTTATCTTCATGTTTGTTTGATGTTTTAGCTTTGAAAGTACCCATGATTTTTATCATTATATAAAAACTTGCTTACAGTACTGTGGATGTAGCTCAGTGGTTGAGTACTTACCTGGCATGTGCAAGGCCTTATGTTCAATCTCTAGCACTACAAAAGCAAAACCTTGCTTCTGTCATTCAGTCTCACATAGAACTAGTTAATGTTACAAATCTAATTTGATAATGTCCAAGGAGAGCTGTCTTTTTATAATAGACTAAATTACATGATACAGTCCACATTAGGATGTAGAAGTCATTTTGTTTTATGATCAGTATAATAAAGGGTGAGTTTCCTTATTTGCAGATATCACTATTATCAAAGGCTCCTTAAAATATCAGGAAGAAAATTTTCAGATTCTGGTACCTGGAGATTTTTGTTTGCCTTTAAGAAGGAAGTACTAGCTAGGCATGGTGGCACATGCCTGTAACCTCAGCAGTCTGGGAGGCTGAGGCAGGAAGACCACAAGTTCAAGCCCAGCCTGGGTAATTTAGCAACTTAGTGAGACCCTCTCTCTAAATAAAAAATATAAAAGCTGGGACTGTAGCTCAGTGTGAAGGCCCTGGGTGCAGTCCCAATTATGGAGAAGGGGGCAAGGGGGAGAGATAAAGATTCTTGATAACATTTTTGCTTTATAAAACCACAAAATTAATTTTTCTGAGAAAAATTATCTGCATTTATCTTGTTATTTCTCACCTTCAAAACATTCTTAGCTATCCTAACTCAAACCTGCTTTTGTAGTCTGATGTTCATTGTTCTGTTACAGGGAACACTTTCTTCTTGCCAAGCTGGTGGCTAGTCACTTCTAAATATGCATAATCTTTTTGCCTGTATTCATATGTGGCCCTGTGTCTAAAATTAAACACTCCCTGCCTTTTGAAATACAACTCATACCTAAAAGGCCCAGACTAAATACTCCTTCCTAGATAACTCAGTGCAGGTGATTTCCACATTCTAGGAGCTGAGAACTCAAAGTATCCACTGAAAATCTTTTTTTTCTCCCATATGTAATTAATTCATTTCATTCCCTTCCTTTATAAGATCATTTATTCTTTTCTGTCTCTGATTCTGAGTTTTTCGTGTTATATAATTTCTCATTTTGGTAGGTTCATTATATGGGACTCAGTTAAGCTATGATAGTAGCTACCTTATAAAACAGAGCCAGAAAAGCATATGTTCCACTGATTTAACAATAAATGTAAGTGATTAGGGGTGTAGCTCAGTGGTAGTGTATATATATAAGGTCCTGAGTTTAATCCCTCCTACCCTGTAAAAAAAAATACATTTAGAAGATAAACTAGAAATGTGCTCAGGGAATTCACAAAGGACTAGATCTAAGTTTTATTTTTAAGGAGATAAATATGTGCTGACTAAATTGTGAACTTTGATGATAATCTCAAAACTGATTTTTTAAATCATGTTACATTTCATATTTGGCAAGGATTACATTGATACGTTTTCTTCTGTGAGAAAAACAATGAACATTTATGTGTATGTTATATATGATTTAGTATAGGCTGAGTGTTTTACAGATGTGTGGCAGTCCTCAAAATAGGACTGTTGTTTAGGAGGACATTGTTATACATATTATAAACACTGGTAGGGAAATTAAGGTATGGAGAGATTAATTTGCTAGTTACATAGTAGGTGGCAGTACTAGGATTGTAATCCAGATGTGAGGGTCTTCAGAATTGACATTCTTGCTGGGCACAGTGGTGGATACCTATAATCCAGCTCCTCAGGGGGCTGAGGCAGAAGGATCACAGATTTGAGGCAAGCCTGAGAAATTTAGTAAGATCTGGTCTCAAGATAAATTAAAATGAGCTACACATACAGCTTGGTGATAGCATGCTTGCCTAGCATGTGTGAGACTCTGGTTTTAATCCCCAGTACCACAAAAGAAAAGTCTTACATTCTTAAGTACTGGTGAATGAAATTATGTGTGTGGATGTATTTTAAATTGTATCATTTATTTCTTTTGATCCATAAGTAAGTTAATATGCCCATAATAATTTTCTTTTTCTTTCTTTTTAAAAGATTGCAGCATCCTATGGAAACATTATCTCTATTTTTGAACCAGTTAATCTACCAAAACAAAAGAAAAATTTGGTCAGTAAATTTATAAATTTTCTTTGAGGAATTGATATGGTTTTAGAAGTCAAAGATATAAATCACAGTGACCATCATATAGACTAGTATAAGTTATACAGTATAATTGAAGATGTATGTTAAATCCCACTTTCATATTAAAAATGTTTAAATACTTCATTGGAATAAAATTGCACTAAATTGTGCTAGGAAATTGTCTTGAAATGCTTTACCTATTTTCTCTGACATTTTAAATTTTATAATACATATTTAAAGAGTTAAAAGTTAAAGTTGTTATTTACTTTATCTCTCACAGCAAACACTTGCACAGCCATATGTGGCAATTTATTGTTGGCTTTTAGGTCTACCTTTATATAGTTTTTCTGCTTTTTCATATGTATATTGCTAAATTATATGTTTCACTTTCAGAGTCTTAATACACTTCTAGGACTTAATTTCTTCTCTTATGTCATGTAATGTAATTGTTATCAGGTCAGTGAATTTTTTTTTATAAGGTAGCTATATTCAGAATAGTTGTGAAGGCTGATTAAACATTTATTCATAACTACTGTGATTATATAGTAGCTGTCATAAATGCTTTAATGCTTTTAAATACAACAAATGGACCACAATATTTTCCCTATTTCTATTAAAGGTTAAACTAATGATTTAAGCCACATGATGGGCTGGGGATTTAGCTTAGTGGTTCTGCTGCCTAACTCGCAAGTGCAAGGACCCGAGTTCGATCCCCCGTACCAAAAAACCCCCAAAACAAAACAAAAAAGATTTAAGCCACGTGAGAGAGGATCAGTGTAGTTGAAGAACAGTATGTTAGAAATTTTTGGACTGGTTTCTGTTTCTCCTGTATTGTAGTTATTTGATCCAAAGCAAGTCAGTCTGGTAAGTTTATTTGCCTAACTCTAGATTGACTAAGACCTATTCATTCTTTTTTTTTTTTTGGTACTGGGGATCGAACTCGGGTCCTTGCGCTTGTGCAGCAGGCAGCAAAACCACTGAGCTAAATCCCCGGCCCCAAGACCTATTCATTCTTGATAGCTTTATTGTAAGGATAACATTATATCAAAGATTATGTAGAACTGTATTGTAAAGAATTAAACAGTGTTTTAATAGAAATACCTGTAGTTTTTTGATCATTTTCATGTTTTTCACTTAATTTATTAGTATCTTACAAATTACCTCTAACCTAGTTTGGACAGGTATTATTTCTTTTCTTCCTTCTTTTCCTTTTCTTGTTCTCCTTCCTTTCCTTCTTTTCTTCCTTTCCTATCTTTTTTAAATGAGTAAGAGACCAGAAGCCCAAAAAGTGACTACTCATTTTGACTGTTGAGCCATGGAGCTGAACATAAAACCAACTGTATTAATTCTTAGGTGTGAGAATTCCTTCCTTAGCTTGTGTTAATGAAAAATATTTTCTATGGGATAGTTGATATCCATCTTTAAATTTCATGAGAGGAAAGTTCACAATTATTTATCATTTCTATTTGTGTTTGTACGTTATCTAGTGAATTCAATATTAAAAGCTCTTAGAGCCATATGAATTAGTAAGTGGCAGTACTAAAAAACAAATTTTAAAATGGTCAAGCCATGCAGAATAAAATACTTCAGGACTTGATACTATTCGTTGAATTAAAAAAGCTATCTTTAAAAATTCAGTGTTTTATATTAAAATGCCCTTATTAGTAAGTGTACAATAGAAATGTTCAGTTTTTGCTCCTTTTCTCTTTTACTAATTATTATTGATGACTATAATAGTGTAAAATACTGTACAAGAGGAGGCTAGTTTATTAGTATTGCCAACAGGGTAGAAAATGTACTTAAAAGTGGATCAAATAGAAAAAACATAGATTTGGAAGATGTACAAAATCTGTAATTCTAAAATATAGTTTTATAGGTATTTATGTCCTTATAAAAAGATATTATTATTTTTCTCTACGTATTCTAGAATATTTTTTTGAGATAGTAAATTATTCTCATGAGAACATTACTATGAGAAGTATACTTCAGAATTACGGGTGGACACGTGTCCAGATCCTGTCCAGGGAATTTCTAAATATCTAAATGTGAGGGGTGCCTATATAATTATGATTAGTTCTAGAGAAGGTTTTAATGTTCACAGTGATTGAGATCTGCTCCTGGAAAGTCAGCATTTCATAAAAGCGTATTTGTAGGGCACCTAGGGTATCAATCACCTAGGGTCTTGGTTTAAGGTACATATTCCTGTGCTGCAAACTAGACCCTTGAACCTGAATTTTTGGGCATGGACATTGGAAGTCTGAACTTTTAATAAACAATTTAGCCTCATCTTTGTTGTACTACTTTGTTGTAGTTTAAGAGCCACTACGTTAGGAGAGGATTTATGGATCTCACTCTTTTAGTGGGCAGTTAAATCAGTTTAAAGATGAATTTAAAAAGAAAATGAAATAGAGTAGAAAAATGTCAGGACATCTCACGTGTCCTAGGCTAACCATAGGTTTCATTTATGTATATATGTTAATGTGTCCTGAATCACAGTGCAAAATGTATTTCTTATTGAGATAGGCCAAAAAAAAGCCAAACTCGGTGGTGGTACAAACCTGAAATTCCACCCCTTGGGAAGCTGATACAGGAGGATCACGAGTTCAAGGCCAGTCTGCATTTCATAGCAAGACTTTGTCTGAAAATATTTTTTTAAAAAGCAAAAATGCTTGAAAAATACTGCTTTAATAAATGGAGGACTTATATAATATTATGGAAGTGTTATTTCTGAATTATTCTCATTCCGAATTTTCCCCCATATCATCATGATCTTGGATGGGGATAGAACATTAAGAGGACATATCAAATAACAGAGCCATTAATACACCTTTAAAGTTAAACTTTTGACTAACTATAATAAAAATAGTAATTTATTCTGAGGTTAATAAAACTTACTTAAGGTGGAATATGGTTATTAGTTGTTTACACTAAAAACAGATTTTTGGACAGTCCAGCAGTGGATATTCTCTCAGTGGTTTGCTTCATATAGTCCCTGGTTTGTTTGTTTTTTACTTAAATGGAACATTTTTTTCCCTTGCAAATGACCAACTGTATTATTATAAGAATAATAAACATGAACATATACATTTAACAGAGACTAGGTGCTAATCATAACTGCCTAAATGATGGTTTTTCTAATTTTAGGAATTGGATAGTCAGTGGCAGAAAACTGGCCAGTTTTTTCTGGACTCAATAACACACAATATAACTTGGGATCCTACAGGTAAGAAAATAAGTGAGATTAACTAAATGAAATATTCTTTGTGTTGTTTTCATTTATGTATTTTATATGTGAGATTGTAGGTAATACAAAGTAAGTAATATAGATTGTGCTCTTTTAGAGTTTATGATGAAATGAAAACTATGCACTGTAATTAGTAATAGAATATTATAAATACTAAAATATGAATGCCTGTTGTTTTTGAAAGTAATCATTAATTATAGGGAATCAAGGTTTCATTGAAGAGGTGCCTTTTGACCTGACTAATAGAGAAATTTAAAAAATGAGAATGGGGTAGGTGGAGTAGGAAAAATAAGTGAATTCTAAGGAGAGATCATGACTATATATTCAGTTATCTTATTTCTGCATTTTAAAAAACATCCCAAAATTTAGTCGCTTAAAACTTCAGTCATTTTAGTGCTTATGACTCTACAGGTCAGGAATTACTATAGGGTTCTGTGGGAATGGCTTATCTTTTGTTGCATGTGGTGTTACCTGAAGTGACTTGTCTATGACTAGGGGCTTTAAGAAGGGCTTTAATTCACATATATAGGCCTTGGTCTCTAGTGGGGTAGCCTAAATTTTAGTTTGATGTGGTAGCTGGATTGTGAAATTGAAAGCATAGCTGCAGTAATTCCTAAATCATGGGTTTAGAAGTCCTAGAATGTCACTCATATTTCATTATGTGGTCAGAGCAAGTTATAAATAGTATTGGTCACCTTTTCTTTGTTTTTTGTTTGTTTGGTACCAGGGATCGATCTCAGGACCTTGTGCTTGCAAGGCAGGCGCAGTGCCACTGAGCTAAATCCCTGGCCCATCGGTCAGCTTTTCTATTGAGAAAAAATACCTGACATCCACAATTGAAAGAAGTTTATTTGGCTCACAGTTTCAAAGGTTTCAGTCCATGGTCAGCTGGCTCCAAGGCAGAAACTTTATGGTGGAAAGCAATTGGCAGAGGAATGTTACCTCATGGTGGCTGGAAGCAGTGCCCAGGGGAAGAGCCCTGTCAACCAAGACACCTTCCAAAACACCCCCAGTGGCCCTCCTCCAGCTGGCCTCACTCTCTTAGCTGTACGCTCAGCTATGAACATCAGTGGATTAATACACTGAGGAGTCAGCACCACCATGATCCAGTCACCTCTCCAAGAGTCTCTTCATCCAGTCAAGTCAACAATTAAGATGAACTGGCACACAAGTTTAGCCCATATTCAAGAGATAGGAGAAATAAACTATAATTTTTGATGAAAGATGTAGCAAAATCTTACTGCGAGGGTATGGACAGAGGGAAACATGATTTTGGGAGTCATTTTTACCATTCTACCGCAGTGAGCAAAGACACAGAAAAACACCATAAGTTATATTCTAATATTAGTACTTCATTGGAGCAAAATTAGGTCCCAGTGAATGGTGGTGAGACAGAAATGCTATAGCATATTATGGAATACTTTAAAAATCATGCTAAGGAATTGGACAGTACTGTGTGCGTGTGTGTGTGTGTATGTATTTGCATGTTCCAGAATTGAACCCATGGCCTCATGTATATTAAGCACATTTTCTACCATTTAGCTACATCCTAGCCCTAAATCTTTTTAATTGTCTAAAAACTACAGTATTATAGGGTTGTTGTTGTTTGTCAGTTTAATTTTGAAGTGCTGGTGATTGAACCCAGGGCTTTGTGCATGATAGGCACACATTCTGCCACTGACAAACACCCTAGCGCTCAAAACAATGAAAGGTTTTGAAAGAAGCTTGTGTTGTGCTAAGAATATTGTTTTGTCAGATTGGTTTGCTAGCAGTGTGGTAGCAGGACTAAAGGCGCAGGATGTACCAGAAGCATAGTGACCCTTGAGTTGCATTCTTAGTAGTTTGAATGAGAAATAACTTGTTTCAGTGCTTTTACTATAGTAGGAACTCAGTATCATTTGAATTAATGAATGCATGGTTATGAAATACATGTAAGCAATAGAATTGACATTGTGTGACAGCCGGATGAGATTACTTTGAGAATATCTATGACTACAAGAGTGAAAATATTTTGGTTCTGATTAAATACTTATGTGCTACATATAATATGCCAGGTATTAGGATATCAATTTATTCAAATTGTGTTAGTAAACTAATTATAGTGCTTTGTAGTGCTCCAAATGCCCTTTTCCATCTTTCCCATCATAGTTTTCTATTTTAGACTTATAATTCTTTTTGTTACTTTAATATACATTTGTCTTTCATATTCTGAATCATTTAATGTTCCACACTCTATCATATGTTGTTTTGTTCCATTCTATACCTGGAATTAATTATTTTGTATTAATGTTTTTCTTTTTTTAATGAAGTAGAGCTTCGCTATGTTGCCCAGGCTAACTTTGAATCCCTGGACTCTATCAATCTTGCTTCAGCCTCTCTAATAACTAGAACTATAAGTGTGCAATATTATGCTTGGCTCCATGTTAAATTCTTAATCTTTCATATGATATCATAATTTCATCTTCAGTTTATGTTAACTGAGTATAGTGGTACATGTTTATAATCCAGCACTATGGGTGGGACCAGCCTGAGCATCTTGGTAACTTAGTGAGACCCTGTCTCAAAATAAAAAATACAAAAAGGACTCAGGCAAAAGGTCCTGGATTCAATTCCCAGTACCACAACACACACACAGAGACTTTGTCTGTTGGTAAGCTCAATAATAAATGTATTTAAATGAACTATGTTGATAGGGCTTTCTATATTTTTTTTTCTTTCTATGAAACTTTGCACTTGCTTAAGCTGCTACATATTGAGCTTCTGCTAAGTACCTGGCCTGTGCTAGCGACACAGCTAATCTTTACAGCAACTGTATACAGACCTCTAATTTTACTGAGGCTCACCAATTGCCTTACTAGATCCAATTCATATTGCTAATTAAGTTGTATATTTGTGATTTAGATGCAGGGATTTCTGATCTAAAATTTATGCTTTTGGGCCAGGGATTTAGCTCAGTGGTTTTGCTGCCTGCTGCGCAAGCGCAAGGACCCGAGTTCAATCCCTGGTACCAAAAATTAAAAAAATAAAAATAAATAAAATAAAACTTATGCTTTGGTCACAGACCTGCCATTCTTTTGAAATAAGAAAATAATCATTCCAGACACATACACGTCCCTAATTGCCAATGTGAATGATTTATTTTTGCCAGTTTGTGTTGGCTAAAATTGCTAATTCTTCATCTTCTTTGTATGCATGGTAACATAACCTTCTACTCAATCTCAAATCATAAAGTTGAAACCTGTCTTTGAACCTCTTGGTTTTTCATTTTTTAGTTGTTGAAAAGGCTTGACAGTTTCTTATTATTTCACTTTTTAAAAAATTGTGAGAGACTACACAAATTTTATCATCTTAAGCACATTAAGTATACATTTCAAGAGTATTAAACACTTTCATAATGTTGTGCAACCATTATCCCACATATCTCTATAATTCTTTTCACCTTATAAAAGTGAAACTCTGTAAGTAGCAACTCCCTATTTCTTTACCTATCCAGCCCTGGAAACCTCTGATCTACTCTCTTATCACTCTGATTTTGACTACCCTAAGTACCTCATATAAGTACATAGAGCATATGTCTTTGTAACTGACTTATTTCAATTATAATGTCCACAAGGTTTATCTATGCTGTCGTTCTTCAGTTGATTTTTTTGAAGTGAAATATTTAAAATTCTCATTTCCTTTTTTTCTGTACTCAGTACCTGTTTCCTTTTGCTTACTTTCGGGATTAAATGTGTCATCTGTAGAGTTATAACACTTAATTTGTATCAATATCAGCCTAACTTCAATAAAACACTCTACTCCTTTACAGCTCTGCCCCAGTGTTTCGTTATTGAAGTCATAAAATTGCATCTTTATACACATAATTCTACTTTTTTTTTTTGGTGCTGGGGATTGAACTCGGGTCCTTGTGCTTGCGCAGCAGGCACCAAAACCACTGAGCTAAATCCTCGGCCCGGCAGTTCTACTTTTTGAAATGTCTTTTAAATCTTTGGTTTTTTTTAATATGGTTCAGATCCTCATGATTTACTATATGAAGTATTATAGTTAATAAATCAGATTTCTGTGGTTCTTATGTTTTCTTTCCTTTTATCTGTAGTTCTTTTCTTTTTTTTTTTTTTTTTGTACCCCGGGGATCCCACTTGGGACCTTGCGCTTGCAAGGCAGGTGGCGGAACCACTGAGCTAAATCCCTGGCCCAAGAGTTATTTTCTAAAAAGGATTTTTAATTTTCTTTGTATACTAAAGTCTTTAAAAGATGAAAGTATGATGAAAGTTATGGATTATCTCTAGAAAAATGTACATATTACAATACAGCTTTTGTGTATTACCTCAGTGGAGGGAAGGTCATAGGCTTCTTCAAGTCTGTTGGTGGCGCCTTCTGTTAATAACCTTGTTCTGAAGTATGGATCCAGTTATGTAAACCTATCCCCTCTTCCTTCAAAATCTTTTGACTTCTGACTACCTATAACAAAGCCCAAACTCCTGATAAACCCGAAAAATGCTTCAAAATCCCATCCTGGCATTTTTTGCAACCTTGTTTCTTTTTCTAGTCTTATTATGTTACCTAGTCCTTAATTAAGAGGCAATTTTGGAAAATGAAGTTGCATGCCTTCATGCCTTTGTGTTAGGTCCCATTTCTGAAATCCTGTCACCTCTCCTTTCCTCCTCTTCATTCCCTAAGGACCAGGTTGCATGTCATTGCTTCCCCTGATACTTTTACTACAAACACACATAATTTCTCCTCCCTGGGACTTTGCACACATTTCTATCATGTTTGTAACACTTTTACAGTGGATTGTAATTTTTTCATGTCTTTCTCTCTACTGGAATGTGAACTCATGAAAAAGGGCAGTGTTTTATTTGTCAGTATATCCCCAGTGCTTACTGCAGTGTGTGGTACAAAGAAGATAGTCATTAAATGTTTGTTGAATTGAGAGGTCATAAGATCTATTCCCCTCTTTTCCAAGCTGTTTCAACAAAATTAAAGTACACCCTTCTTCCCCTTCCCCAAATATTTTTTGTTAGTCTTTTTATAAATTGTATTATCTTTATAGTATTATATGAAACTCTTGAACTTGTATTTTAACTCACTGTTAAATACCTAAATAACAAGTAGTGAATTTTTTTTTTTTTTTTTAGGTAGTCGTCTTTTAACGGGTTCCAGCTGTTTGCAACTCTGGTCTAATACTAATTTAAAGAAGCTAAATGAAGATGAAGATGCAGATAAAACAGATCTTAACTTTGGGGATTGGAGATGCATTTGGCATTGCAAGTAAGCAACTAATTAGGGGATTAAACTGATAAATCTGTTATTTGTGATTTTATTATACTATAAATGCATTTTAACTTGTGTAAAACCACACTAACATTGATTTCTTTTTGTGTGTAACATGCCTTTTTTGCACATCAAGAATTCACCATTTTCCAGGTTCCAAATCTCCATGTTTTTTAAAATGTGAAAATATCTAGAAAGAAACATAAATATAAAAGGCCTACATGAAGATCATTAAATGGAAATTGCTAAATTATACAAAAAAGATATTCTTTTTATGCTTTTGAATGAAAGGCTTTGTATTATGGGGAAGTTTGTTTTTCCCATATTAATTTATATATTGACCATAATCAGAATTTCATTGGAATTCCTACTTTTGAGCATAATTCTAAATTTCTTTGCAAGAACAAGATGGGAAAACCAGGGAAATTGTGAAAGAAAAGAAAAATGAAAGTAGTATAGTAAAGCTATAGCTGATTTAGCAGTTTGTTGTTAATATAGGAACAGACATATGAGGATCTAGGTGTAGACTCAACCATGAATAGATACTCAGTGTATAAAGGAGCATTTCATAGTGGAGCAATAATTAGCCGCTCTATGGAAGGGAAAGTGAGTTAGAATCACTTTTGTAGCTGGTATCAAAGTGTCAGATGGAGGAAAATACTGAATTTCTGTACAGTGAAACAAAAATATTAGAGAAAATATAGGTAAATTTCTCTATTTTAGAGCTACAATGTTCAATATTGTGGGCACTGACCACATTTTGCTTTAGCCCTTGAGATGTGGTTAGTCCCAGTTGGATGTGCTGAAAGATAAACAGTGGATTTCCAAAACTCAGCACAAACACAAAAAAGAATGTAAAATATCTTATTACGTATATATGTGTATAAAGTAAACACTAGATTTCAAAAGCTTGGCATAAAATAATGTAAACTATCTCTAACAGTTTTTTAATTGATTATGTGTTGAAATGATAGTATTTTTTGGCATATTAGGTTAAATAACATATACTTAATTTCACATGTTTCTGTTTTCCTTTTTCATGTGGCTAATAGGTTTTTTTTTTCTCCCTGTAGTGAAAATCAAACCAGGGGTTTTCACATGCTAGGCAGGTGCTGTACCACAGAGGTACATCCCCAGCCTTTCTATCATTTTATTTTTGTACTAGAGTCTTAAGTTGTCCAGGCTATCCTCAAACTTGGGATCCTGTCCCAGCATCCCAAGCAGCTGGAATTACAGCATGTGCCACCACATCTAGCGCACTAGTAGGAGATTTCAAATGCTATATTTGACTTATATGTGTCACTTTTGTTGTATTGTTGGACAAAATATGCTGCTTTAGAGTTAGGGAAAGACTTCTAAGTATGACACGAATACTAGAAACTGAAAGGAAGGGAAAAATTAATAGTTTTGACTAACCAGGTATCGTTGCACACATCTGTAGTCCCAGCTATTTGGGAGACTTGAGTCAGTAGATCACTTAGCTCAGGAGTTCAAGACCAATCTTGGCAACATGGTGAAATACTGTATTTATCAATTCAATATTTCTAATAAGCCAGAAAACAGAAAGGAACAAAAAACTGAAGGAAATATGGAATTTAGGGGTTAATGCCTTTTTAAAGGCCAGTCTTAAAAATTACTTAGAAAAGTGTAGGTAAAATAATAGTAATAGTGGGCAGAGAAGAGAATGATATAATTATTTTTTTGCAATGCTTGAGCACAAAATTTAAAAAGGTGTATGTATAACATAATTATTTTAAGGGTTGATTGCACTTGAAATAGAAATGTGAAATGTGCGAAAAGAAGATAATGAATATTCTCTATTAAACAGTGAATATTTGGAAAAACAGGTATCTCATGGGCTGTCACGTGAATGAAATTGATATTTCATTTCTAGGGTACAATTTGGAAGTATGAATCAGTAGGCTTAATTTTTTTCACATCCTTCAGATAATAATTCCTGGTTATGTTCATTCACCAGATATTTATTGAGTGCTTATCATGTCCCAGGATGCTTCAGAAATGCTTGTAATATTATATTGAGTAGATAGAAAGATAATAAGCCAGTAAACTGGTATATCAGGATGTTAGATGGAATTTTTCCTGACTCAATTTTATTTGAAGTAGTAGTAGTTACCAGATACCAAAATGAGAGCCAGCAGACTTTCTATAGTTAAAATTTACAGAGCAGATTTCAAAGGAGCTGGTTCCGTATATTTTTCTCCCCATCTAGGTCATAGGCATAAAAAAGGTTAATATATATACAGAGAATTGGATTTGCATAAATAATTCTTTAGAAAGAGTTACAGCCTTGCCTCTGAGTCATTGAGGTTGCGAGGAGGAACAGTGAAGTGTTAGATTGTGTTTTCTGGAGGTCTGTTTAGGAGCTTTCATGTGATGAACTGAGAGCTTGAAGTATACTTTTTGCAGTTGTGAGAGAGGAGAATGTAGAATTAAGAGTTTCCAGTAGTACCATGGAACAGAAATACTGATTATTTGAGCTGTATTTAAGCAAGCAGAAAAGACATAATCTAGAAACCATGCAGGTTTTGATTTAGGATCAATAGATTACATTCACTGGAATACATTTAAAAGTTGAATTTTGATCATATCCCATTTGTTTTATTTATTTATTATTACTGGGTTTTTTTCCCACTTGTGATAGATTTAAGACACTGGTTGCACATGTTGAACAAAGGTGTGTTAGTGCCATGGAGACAAAGTACATAGGGTAAGGGGAAAGGAAATAGAGGTGATCTTTGCGCATAGATGTGAAGTGAGAGAGCAGGCCACAAGTACCTGTCATGAAGTGCAGAGACCCGTAGTTAAAATGTTCTAACTTCTGACTGAAGTGAAGAGAGCAGAATGAGTGATGGAGTGGATATGTTCGGAGTGAGGAGACAGTGTATAGTCAGTATGTAGCCTTTGCCTTTTTTTTTTTTGGAACCGGAGATTGAACTCAGGACCTTGCACTTGTGAGGCAGGTGCTGGAACCTCTGAGCTAAATCCGTGGCCCTCCTTTTTTTTTTTTGACATGCTCACAAGTTGCCCATGGTGATCTCCAACTCATGGGTTCAAATAATTCTCCTTATATATGCAAGGCCCTGGGTTCAACTCTGAGCTCAAAAAAAAAAAACCAAAAAATAATTTTACTTTTAAACCAGCATGGTTTAATTCCAGCTTTTTGAGAGACTAGGGCAGAGAGATCACCTCTGGAATTTAGAACAGACTGGACAACATAGTGAGATAACATAGTTTTTCCTTTTCAAAAAAGAAAGAATGAAAGAAAAAGGAAGGAGAGAGAGAAGAGGAAAGGAAAGAAAAGTAAAAAGAAAAGGCTGAGGCAGTAGCTCAGTTTGAAAGTCTAGGTTTGGTCCCCAGTACTGTAGTCAGTCAATCAATTGTGTGAATATATATTATTAAAACATTTTCTATCTGAAGAGGTTGTGGGAGAATAATTTTGAGACTATTTTATTTTTTCTTAGTTTTTTTGCAAATTATATCTTACCTCTTTACAGAACTGCTTCTGAAGTTCATTTGATGAAATTTTCACCAGATGGAGAATTTTTTGCCACTGCTGGGAAGGTAAATTCTGGACATGCTATTGTCAGATTGCGTATTCACACTTTATTTTGAAGCTTTATGGACATTGGCTGGCATTATTCTATTTTTTATCTTGGAAATCTCCCCCCTCCCCATATCAAGGATCAAACTCAGGACCTTGAGCTTGCAGGGCAAGTGCAGTGCTACTAAAATAAATCCCCAGCCCTTGAAAATCTTATTTTCTATTAAAATATTAAGTAACAAAAAAGTTGGTATATATTATGATGTTAAAAGACAATATGGTATAATTGGAATACCTTAGCCTTAGTGATAGATCTAGGTACATAAATCTACCATTTACCAGCCTTTTCATCTTAAACAAGTCAATCCCTTTGAGCCTTCCTTTTTTCTTATGTAAAATGAGAATAATACCACCTACTTCACAAGTCATTAATCATAGGGTTAATTTAGAGAATGTATATAAAGTGACTAGCCCAGTGCCTTGCATGCAGTGGATGATAAACTATAGCTTCTACTTATATTATCTTTTAGCTGATATTTGTATTACACTGTGTTTAAAATATAAGACTTATAGGTTTTTTTAAAGGGACATTTGTGACTATTCCTTTGGTGTACATACTGTACCTTGTTACTATCTGTTGATTTCAGAAAAGTGTATTTTCTTGAATTATTTTATTTTTAATCATTGGTACACTGAATAGTTTGTGAAACACTAGTGGTTTGAAATTATTGTTTTCATGACTCAGCCTTCTGCAAACGGAGTGTGAGATACCCCTAAACCACAGTGAGGTGTCTTTTTTTTTTTTCTTTTAAAGGAGAGAAATGAAACTGTTCATTCTGATTGATTTTACAGTAGAAATTCTGTTATAGATTAAAAGCAGCACTCAATACATTCTAGTCTCCCTCTCCTTATTTCCCAAATTAGGTACAAATTTCATTATATATAGAATACTTTATGTAATACAAGATACTAGTTATCATTGATAACATTTTCTTTGAAAAGTTATATAATCCGTGAAATAAGTGTGTCCTTTTGTTCAGTGAGTAGTAGTCTCTGTATTTTTGCTGGTGGTATTGCTTTCTTTTTTGATATTTCGTTTTATAGAGGAGAAGCCCTTAATTTCATCTTTCAGTCTTCCCTGACTGACTCCATTTCCTATAGTATATAGTAATTAGTAGCATTTTTCTTGAATACAATATACACATTCACATGTTTTATTTCTCAAAAGCATAATTAAGGAATGCTGATTGAAAAGTAATGAGAATCAGAGAACTTCTCATTTCCTCGGTGCCAACCCCTCCTGCTATCTCCGTTTATGCCAGTTGAGAGAAGAATCTTAATTTTGCTGTTTAAATTAACTTTCAATTTAATTTGGTTCTGTATTTTTCTACTTTTTTTTTTTTTTAGGATGACTGTCTTTTAAAGGTATGGTATAATGTAGAAAACTGGCGGACAGCTGTTACCTCTCCTGATATAAGTTCAGACAAACAGTCCCAAGGAGAAATTGACTTTTCCTTTGTATATTTGGCCCATCCTCGAGCTGTAAATGGATTTTCCTGGCGTAAAACAAGCAAGTATATGCCTAGGTCAGTAGATTGGTTATTTTTTCCCATGTGTTAAGAGAACATCATTAATGTGACTTTGACTGCTTTTCTAACTTTGTGAGACCATAGCTATAGGACTTTGGATCCTATAAAGATTACAGCAATATTAGAGTCCCTGGCCTTCACATTTGTCTGTAAATCAAGTATGATTGACGGTCATTGTGTGGGACATATGAAACGAGTTTAAGCTGAGATAATTTGCCTCCATATCAGATGTCTTTAAGTTACAAAGTTGTGTGCATTTTCTCTACTTTCTGTTTTGTGTCTTAATTTTTCTCTCTTATTCTACAGATTGCTGTTGGTGTGGACTTTTTCACATTTCACTTTGTCATTTTGTACCTTCTAGTATAAGTCTCCTCTGGTTTCCTTTTTTTTTTTTAAGAAAAAGAGCTTAATCAAGAGGCTATGAGACCTCAATCAAGCATTTACATAACTTTGTTGAACATCTTTGAGGAGAGTGAAGTGTGTGCACACCTCAGATTATCCTGCTGTGAATTAGATATTAGTGTAATCCATCCAGACACACAGATATGTTCTTTCTTTCCTATAGTCTTGAAAGACTTGATAGCCCACTGAATATTTACCTATACTATGTTAATGTGGAAACATATTACTCAAATATAGTTAGAAGTCATTTTTGGTGCTACATGGCAGTTGTCAATTTGGCTATACTGTGTAAGTTTTTCTCTTATTCTTTCACTATGCTATGAATGTTATCACCTGAAACATCCTAATGTGATTTGTGCTAGTGTACATAGATAATTTGTTGACTTGGCTTTTGCTCTTCCCAGCCAATGGATTATACCTAGACATTTGAACTACAGAGCAGTACTTGCAGTTCCTGCGCCAGCCCTCTGGTCTAAAAAAGTGTAGCTGTAGGAGGAACACTCTAGGAAAAGTAATGGTTCTGCTGTGAGGGAGATGTGTCAGTCGTTGAGTTAAGGAGCATAGTCTGGACAATCTATAATTGTTAGTAACCCTACCCGACCTTACCTAACTGCTATTGCTCTAGTTAAGAATCTTAGGTGTTTGAAACAAGAACTACTGATTCTGGGCAGAAAAATACATTGCCGTTTACTATGATGAAATCTCTATATAATAACATTGTCTTCATTGTTAACTTATTTGTGTACATTTAAATATGTATAGAAACATTGCAGAATGTCTGTGATACTGTGTAAAATTTGTATTCTTTCCTCTAAAATCCCTTTATTCCTTAGAGCGTCTGTATGTAATGTACTACTGACTTGCTGTAAAGATAATGTATGTCGTCTTTGGGTAGAGACATTTTTACCAAATGACTTTTTGCTATATGGAGGTGACTGCAACCATTGGTCTGAACCAATTAATTTAACAAATAACTTCAAGAGAAATGCTTCCAGTAAAGAACGTGTTCAAAATGCTCTTGAGGTTAGTGTTTTTGTTAAATGTTATTTCTTTCAGGGTTAGTACATTGTCTTTTTTGTAACATAGTAATATAAGAAACCTGTCTTAGGAATTCTCAAATTTTTAAGTTTTATCTTGTTAAAAAATATATTCTTAAGGATTTTGTTTAGAGCATATAACTACCTATAAATAATTATGAAATTAATCTTAGCTTAACTGATAATATCAAAAGGATGATTATATTTAAGTTACAAAGCAAATTAAAATATGAGAATGCAAAGATTAGACTATATAAATTTTCTCAGAGCTTGGAATAGAGTGGTTTTTCATATTCTGTTCTATATCAGTCATTTTTAGACCCACCAGAACTTGGAGTCTTTATTTTACTAATTAATGTTAATTTACTTATTTTTTATTTTTTTTTTTATTTTGGTTCTTTGAGGCAGGGTCTCGCTATGTAGGTCAGGCTGGCCTTGAACTCAAGGGGATCCTCCTGCCTCAGCCTCCCGAGCACTGGGATTGCAGGCATGCACCCCCATGCCCAGCTTTAGATTCATTATTTTCTTAATATTCAGAACTGAAAATAATTTTAAAATGATTTATCTTTGAATCCTTTGCATGATTACAGAGCAACTATTTTTCACATTTGAGTAGTGTCCCAACGGCTTAGAACATAATTAAATATATGTTGCATTGTATATTCAATAACAGAATAGTTAGGTGTAATAATAGCTGAAAGAAATCTTAGACTAGGAATCTAAAGACTTGTTCTACTTTTAGCTCTTCCTCTTATTAACAAGGTGACCTTGGGTTTCATATGAACTATTTTATCCTATGAAAGATGAGAGTAATATTTGCACTGTCTGCCTCAGGGGATCAAATGAGATGATCTCTGTGAAAGTGATCTGTAAATCATGAAATATCCTAATGTGTGGTGCCAGGATTATTAAATGCTTTGTCATGACAGGGAATCAACTATGGGCAAAGAGAGCAATATACATAGAGACATCATTGTTCACATACACATTATTAGTGTCTTAGTTACTTTCTCATTGGTGATAAAAAATACCTAACACCCACAAGTTAAAGTTGGAAAGGTTTATTTTAAGTCACAGTTTGTAGACGTTTCCTTCCGTAGTTGGGTGATTCCAAGGCAGGACAGCAGGGCAGAGGGCATCAAGGTAGGAGCCAGTAAGACTTCCTCTTTTTTTTTTTTTTTTTTGGTATGGGGATTGAACTCGGGTCCTTGCACTTGGGAGACAGGCAGGAGAACCACTGAGCTAAATTCCCGGCCCAACATTTTTTAAAAAATTTTTTCGTACCGGAGATCGAACTCAGGACCTTTCGCTTGTGAGGCAGGCGGCACCACTGAGCTAAATCCCTGGCCCAAGACTTCCTCTTTATTTTCCTTTTTATTCCATCCAGGCTACAAACCTATTGATTGGTGCCACTCACACCCAGGGTGGGTCTTCCCTCTTCACCAAGTCCACCACCTACACTCAGAACTGTGATAAACCACTCAGTGGAGTAATCCAGTATCACATACCCATGATGCAGCCACTCCCAAAGTGAGCACATGAGGCTTTGGGGAGGCATCATATATAAACCATAACAATTAGAAAAAATGTAAACAATTATTAATTTAAAGAAAATATTAAAGGTATTTATGGTAAGGAATTAATGTTGATTTTAAGAATGTTAAATTTTAAATTTTAAATATTACTAATTTTAAGATATTGATTTTAGGATATTAATTTTAAGAAAGTAAACCAGATAAAAATTGCAAAGTACTGTGTGAAGTTTAAGAGAGGAGCTCAGACACGTTAAGTTCTAACCTTATTCTTCAGAATTTGAATTCGCTATACAAAAGTGTTGAAAGGCATTTTACATATATGTAATGAACAATAATCATTATGTAGACTATGCACATGTGACAATATAGGCATTAGCTTTACTTTGTTTTTATTCACACAGGTAAACCTTAGACATTTTCGCAGAGGCCGGAGGAGGTCACTGGCACTTGTAGCACATACCGGCTACCTGCCTCATCAGCAGGACCCACACCATGTCCACAGGAGCACTCCACTGCACGCCAATGCCCTCTGCCACTTCCATATTGCAGCCAGTATTAACCCAGCCACAGGTAAGAAAGGAGCCCTCAAAATGGAGTTTTGAAATTGAGTGGGTTAATTCTACAATAAATAAACTATTCTTTTAGTTTTTGAATATGTCAAATTTGGAGGTGACTTTGCCAGTTTTCCTTGCATCCAGATCACTTGTTTCCATTTTTTGTTGTTATTTTGGTTGTTTTTTGCATTTTAAGGCCATGAATTGGTTTATGCATAAGATCCTGATAAGTTATTGAGACTTACTATTAGTTTATTCAAAAATTGAAATTTAAGCTATTACCTAGTAGAGGTTAATGTCACAGAAGTAGTATTTTATGATTATTTCATAGTTATTAATATAACATCAGTGTTTGACACTTGATCTTTGGACTCAGAGAGATAAGAAATTTATAAAAGTTGTAACTGGAAAAATTAAGAAACTTATTTCTGTAGTCAAATATGTATTAGTAGACTGAAAGTTCTAAATATCTGAGTCTCTGAATTTGGAGATTGAAGTCTTTATCACTTTAGTAAATATTTTCTGTGAGTATAAAACCCAGTGATCACAATTGAGACATTCAAAATAGAACCTTGTAATATTTCTTGAAAAAAATTTTAAAATATTTACACATAAATGCTATCTGTAAAGAAGTGACAGGAATTAAGATGAGCTAGAGGTCAAATTTCATGCAGTGTTTCTGTTGGTAGACAACAGTAGAAAGACTACCATAGTAAGTAAATGGTCAAAGAAAAGATAAAAGAATCTTCCTCTTTTCCTTTCTGTTAGAGCAAGTTCTAATACATCCAGTCCAAGAGCTTCTGTGTATTACCTATACATACCCTAGTTTATTCTGTCTCACTTTAGTCCCTCTCACTAGAAGATAATCACTATTGATGAGTTTTTGCATCCTGTGGAATATTCTTAACTTTCAGTTAAGCATAAACTATTTCTATATAGCTGGAAATTACAGTATTGCATCCTTCAAAGTAGTAGCAGTAAGTATAGTCCAGTAGTTACTTGAGTAGAATTTTATTCATCAAAATGAGAAGTGCCCTGCAAAGTGGAAGTATAGAGGTTATTATGGTAGGAATGAAAAGTGTTTTTGATCTTTGTAGTTTTTATTTGATTGACAACAATCATAGCTCTATAAGAATTCATGGGGCCAGGGATTTAGCTCAGTGGTGCCACCACCTGCCTCACAAGCGCAAGGTCCTGAGTTCAATCCCCAGTACCAAAAAAAAAAAACAATTCATGAATCAAAATATGTAAATGGGACAATATTTAATTATCTTTATTAAAAATTATATAAACCTGCTCTTCCTCAGACAAAGGTCTACTATCTCAAATCTATAAAGAACTTAAAAAGATCAGACCTCCCAAATTTAAAGACCCAATCTTAAAATGGGCATCTGAAATGAACAGACATTTCTCAGACAAGGAAGTAGAAACAGCAAATAAATACATGAAAAAATGTTCAACATCACTGGTCATTTGAGAGATGCAAATGAAAACAACACTGAGATTCCACTTCACTCCAGAAAGAATGGCTGCTATCATGAAATCAACCAATAACAAATGCTGGTGGGGCTGTGGGGAAAGAAGAACCCTGCTCCACTGCTGGTGGGAGTGTAAACTGATGCAACCACTGTGGAGATCAGTATGGAGATACCTCAAAGAACTAGGACTGGAAGTCCCGTTTGACCCCGCTATTCCACTGCTGGAGATCTTCCCCAAAGAATTAAAAGAATCATACCACAGTGATATATGTGCGCCCATGTTCATAGCAGCACAGTTTGTAATAGCTAAAACTTGGAAACAGCCCAAATGCCCATCAACTGGAGACTGGATCAAGAAAATGTGGTTTTTTTTATAAAATGGAGTACTACTCAGCCATGAAAAATGAGAAATTAGAGACATTTATAGCTAAGTGGATGCACATTGAGGCAATACTCTTAAGTAAAATAAATAGGACACACATGAATAAATTCCGAATAGTTTCTCTGGTGTGAGAAACAAAGTGTAAATAAGGACTAGATGTATAATAGGTAATTTGAAATAGGAAGCAAAGGGGCAAAGGGGAAGGAAGTGGGAGAGCTAGGGGAAAGGATAGAAGAGAATGGGATTAATATGAGAAAATGGAAAAATAGGAACAAAATATTTGTAAATAGGGAGGAATGGAGGGGTTGAAGAGAGTGCTGGACAAGGGTGAAAAATAAGAACCAAGAGAGACTATGTAAAGGTGCAAATTTCCAATGATGAATGTCATTATATTGTATATCTAAAATGTACCAATGATTAGAATGAATAATCGATAATGTAAAATAGGAAGAAAAGGTCCAAAGGGGTAGGGGTAGTGGGAGGGGCAAGGGAAAGGAAAGAAGGGAAAGGAAAAAATGCTGAGAAATGGAAAAAATGGAAATAAAGTCTTTGTAAATAGGGAAGGGTGGAGGATGTGAAGGGAGGGCTAGGAATGGGGAAAAAATAAGAACCAAGATGCATTATATAAAGGTACAATTCCCAATGAGAAATGTAATTGTGTTGTATACCTACAATGTACCAATAAAAGAATTTAATTTAAAAAATTATATAAGCTTGGGAAAGATCATCACCTTTATCAAAAACATGTATCAACAGTAATTACAGTACAACTTACCTGTAAGACCAGTGGAATAATTTTGAAGGTTCCTGCTGAGTAATGACAGTATTGGAATGGAAGTAGCTCATTGTTAGAACAGTTGCCTTGCAAGTGTGAGGAACCAGGTTGAACCCTCAGCATCACAAAATATAAAAGAAAAAAAATAAAGGACAGCATTATGAGAATAAACAAAGCTTGAAGTACATTAATGTAAAAAGGTTAGGGATTACTGAGAAAGGAGCCCTAAATTCCAGTGTGGCTTCTCCTTGACTAGTTTCCCATATGAAAAACTCTAAAACTTTTCTTTGAAGAATAGCCCACTAAAGAAAATGCAGAGCGAATCAAAATGAAATAATGTTAGCATCTAGAATGGCCTCTATGAGGAATTCTTTCTCCTTCATTTGATCTGTTGGAATGATGTTTTTAGATATCTATCTTTTTTTCTGTGTGTTTGTGTGTGTGTGTGTGTGTGTGTGTGTGTGTCTGTCTGTCTGTCTGTCTTTGAGTCAGGATCTCATTATGCAGTTCAGGTTGGTCTTGAATTCACCCAGGCAAGATTTGAACTTAAGGCATTCCTCCTGCCTCAGCCTCCTAAGTGCTGGGATTACAGACAGGCTCCACCATGCCTGGCCCTAGATGATGTATTTCTTAAGCACAGCTCTTAGATATATTTTCGTTTATTTCTCTGTCAGTGGGAATAGCCATTGGAGAGGAGCTCCTAAGAACATGCTCTTTCAGTTCTAGTTTCTGGATTATTCCCATGCAAATGTCATTGTACATGTACCATCTCCACACAAGGAGTGTAAACAGTATGTACTACAAATATGTACTAATAAATTTTTTAAATGGCATTAATCAAATTCTTTGAGTGAGGTTGGACACAAAAGAGTTTTTAGTTTCCTTTTAGTTAGAATGCTTCTGGCAAAAGCCATACTCCTTCTTGTGTACTTAACAGTCAGGCTGTGGTCTTCTGAAAGAATTGCTGATTTCATCTGCGTTGATCATAAGTCAAATATGAGAAAATCTTACCCATGGCTTCTTGAAGTATCCTCTCAAACCCTGGCACTGCTTTGTATCCATCCAGAAACAGTAAGATTGGCAGTTCAACCTTTCAAGGTTCTTATTAAATGTTTGATCTATGCCAGTGTAGGAACTAGAGGTACAGTAGCAATCAATAAGGTATCAGCTTGCTCTTGTGAAATACGTAATCAGGTAGTGGATAAATAAACATTTATCAAATAATTGTTCTAAGAAATATACAGGTAATAGATAGCAGCTATTAGATTAGATATATTAGAACTTGCTTCTAGTAGAAGAGACAGGAGAAAGATTCTTTTATCTTCTTTACTATTTATCTCATAGTATTCTTTCAATTGGTGTCTAAAAATAGGCACATTGTATGAACTGATAATTTATAATACTCTTAAAAAGTAGAATTATTTTGGAATAAATTGTTTATATTCCTTGAATTCACTCCAGCCTTTGCACTTCAGCATATATCAACATGGTTGAGTTTTGATCTAATATGATAGAGTTGAACTTTTCTTTACCTCTAGTAGTTAGGGATTATCATTTGTAATAGCTGACTAGATATGTACCTCACTATCCTTAATTTAGCAGTTTTATCAAGTATGATACTAAGGAACGATTTCTTTTTAGCTGTGATCTCTCTTGATTTTTTTCCATGTACATGAAAAGGGAACCTCAATTTCTTACCTTCTAACATCAATCTTGATGCTAATAAATATGCAGTAACCTATCTTAGATGGGTAGATCATTAAAGAAGTTAATATGTCAGTCTGTTAAGTTAAAAAATTGTTGCTATAGAGAGGTATATGTCACTAGTTCCTTTGACTTTAATGATGATGGTATTTTCCACTGTATGTTTTTATTTTTACCAAAATATGTTAAGACATTCCTTTTAGCATATCTAGGATTATAGAAATGTTTCTTCATGAGAAGTTTTTCAGGATTAAAGAAAACATATACAGTGGCACCTCAGTTCACAAACTTTAATTCTCTCCATGATTCTGGCTGCAGATTTCATCCCATGATTCTGGGTGCAACATGGAACAAATTTTGTGACCAGAATCGTGGAAAGACTTAAGTTAGTGAACTGAGGTACCACTGTATAGTTAAATTACACTGATGACTCAAAATGTATAATTTTAACTCCTCTGTAATAAGTAGGTTAAATTTAATACTTAAATCTCTTACTATTAATAATAGTGGCAAACATCTTATTGGAAATTTATTTGCAGGTAAAATAAAATATGTATTTTAGAAGTTTAAAGATAAATGTAGTATGTATAAATTTATCCATACCCATAGAACATAAACTGTAAGCTAAACCTTGGACTCTGGATGGTAGTGATGAGTGAGTGTAGGCTTATCAGTTGTGACAGTATATTGCTGATGGGTGTACTTTTTAAAATCTGTTTATTTTTGAGACAGGGTCTCACTTTAAAGTCATGGCTGGCCTTGAACTCACTATGTACCCTAGGCTGGTGTTAAATATGTGGTGATCCTCTTCTGTCAGCCTCCTGAGTGCTGGGATCACAGGCATGCACCACCATGCCCAGTTAAAATCTACTTTTTAAAAGAAAAGATAAATCCCCTGAATTATCTGTTCATACAATGTACCTGTTGTTTGACACGAGTAGAAAAAATTCCATGAGATAGATAGTAAAGGAGAAGATTCAAAAATACCTTTCTTCTGTCCCTTCTATTAGAGGCAAGTTCTAATGTATCCAATCTAAGAGCTGCTGTTTATTATGTGTGTGTTCCTTAGTATAATTATTTGATGAATGTTTATCCCCTGCCCAATTATATATTTCACAAGCACAAGCTGATTGCCTCTGTGGAGGTGGGATGTCACAGTGGGGAGGTGTGGCACATGAGCGGGAACAGAGTGTGTGATTGTTGCTTACCTTTCAGTTGTTCTGTGAACTTAAATCTACTCTAAAAACTAATGTTGAAAAACTCAAAATATTTAGTTAAATTAAAAAGTAGGAAAATTCTTTCCCCGACAAAAGATAATTATGTAATAGATAATAATGAAAATAGTATGCTAGAATGGTGAAAATTTAAATTTTATAATCTTTTCTTTGTAGATATTCCACTTCTTCCATCTATTTCATCTCTGAGTTTAAGTGAAAATGAAGACAAGAGTGGGCCTTTTGTGGTACATTGGTTAAACAACAAAGAGCTGCACTTTACTTTGTCCATGGAAGTCTTTATACAGCAACTTAGAAAAAGTTTTGAACAACCATCTTCTGAAACCAGTGCAGAAGACTCTAATCAAGCAGATGTAAAATCTGATGAAGGTAAACCTTTAAAAAGAATAAAAGTTCGGAGGTTTTGTTCAAATATCAGCAGTTTTTATGTTAGGATAAAACTTTTCAGAACAAAAAATTGCAATGAGATAATGCAAATATGAATTAGCTCATTTAATAATCTGATATAGCCGGCCAGGGATTTAGCTCAATGGTTCTGCCACCTTCCTCGCAAGCACAAGGACCCGAGTTTGATCCCCAGTCCCCCCCAAAAAGTCTGATAAAGTTATTCCTGTTCCAAGTAGATTTTTTCCATATGGAGATTCAAGAACTCAGGGCTCTCCTTCCTTATGGTTTTATAAGCTCCAGGACCTTGTTCTTTTTATTTATTATTTTTTTTTGGTACCAGGATTGAACTCAGGATCTCTCATTTGCCAGGCAGGCAAGAAGACATTGGGCTGCATCCCCGCCCCAGGATCTTCTTCTTAAATGACTTTCTGTTGATTTGCAATATTCGCATTTCCTGGGAGCTCTTTAGAAATGTGTAATTGCAGGCTCCACACAGATCTACTCAGCAGGTCTACTCAGTATTACAATATAATAGATTTTCTAGGTGATATCTATGTACATTGAAGGACCTTAAACTCATCTGCATTCAGCTTTGCCTTTGGTGTAGAGAGAGGAGGAGGAGTAACTGTTTCTAAGCCTTGACTCAGAACTGATATGTATCCTTCCATTCACATTGCATTGGTACCAAATAGTCACAGAGCCCTATATGGTCCTCATCTAGATAGCCTCTCTGAGGTAAAGACTCGGAAATATCAAGCTGCGGTGTGTGGGTGATCATCTCTGTTAAAGTGTGTGACTCATAGATGAGTTGGATTTTTAAAAGTCTTGTTTTAATTGCAAGAGTTTGTTATCATTAAATAAGAGCTATACAGAAAGGGGTAAACTTTCTATGTGGTTATGTTTGGTGAGTGTTCTTCCAGATTGCTTTCTTTTCTGTGAACATGAGTATACAGAAGTTATAGTATAGGTATTCATTTTTATACAAAAGTAATGTCCTACAACTTGTTTAAATCAAATAGTGGGGAGTTTTCCATCTTATAATCTTTAATATTCCATGTCCAAGAGAAACCTTCAATTCCTCTATTGATAGACATTTAAGTTGATTTAAAATAGCCTTTTCATTATACTAATATTGGTACCATGACACATCTTTTCATCTTTGTGTGATGTTTTCTGTAGCATACCTAGCATACATGAAATTACCAGTGAGTATATAGGTTTTAAATATCAACAAGTGACAAATCGCCCACCAGTAAGTTTTTACTTTCTCCAAGTTTAAATACTCTTTTTAACACTAAATCTTTTCCTTATATAACTTTCTTGCCAGTTGACAAGGAGAAAATGGCATCTGTTTTACTTTGTATTTTCTTGACACAAATTGAACAGAATGAGTGGATATCTTTTAATTAATATCTTCTGTGGCTGGCTCTTCATATCCTCCTTTGACTTATTTTTCTGTTTTTCTTTTTTCTTATAGATTTGAGTGTCTTGACTTGCTGTTTTTTAATCTGATGAGCAGTCAAAACATTTTTTAAATGTCTCTTTTAAGAAAGGCTTTATATTCCTAAACAAGAGTTGAGGGAAAGGTATAAAGATTGGGATTTTTTTTTTTTTTTTGTACTGGGGATTGAACTCGGGACATTGCGCTTCTGAGCCAGGTGGCGGAACCACTGAGCTAAATCCCTGGCCCCAAGATGGGGATTTTTTTAAAGAGGTGTGATAATATATTTTTACCTAGATTAATAAATCATTATATAAATTTTTAAAAATTTTATAAAGCTATTTCTTAGTTTGTAGTAATAGCTTGATTGTATTTATTTGTATTCATTCTTTTCCTTATAGAAATGGATGACAGTGTTGATGATTTGAACATAAATCATGAAAAGAAGGAATTGGGTGGAGATAAAATGGTACCAAACTCAAGTTTTGCACCATTACCATCAGCTGCCATTGATCATCAGATCGAAGTGCTCCTGTCTGAATGGAGTAAAAATGCAGACATGCTTTTCAGTATTCATCCCATGGATGGTTCTTTACTAGTTTGGCATGTAGATTGGCTGGATGAATACCAGCCTAGTATGTTTCGTCAAGTACAGGTACTATTATTATGATCTTTATAGAGTTACTTCCTGTTTGGGTACTGTTTGTAATATCTCGGTATAATTCATATATTCTAATACTCAGTTTCTTAATTTTAGGTGTCCTTTGTTTCCAGAATTCCTGTAGCTTTCCCTACAGGTGATGCAAACTCTCTCTGTAAAAGCATTGTAATGTATGCCTGTACCAAGAATGTTGACTTGGCTATTCAGCAAGGGAAACAAAAACCTTCTGGTCTCACTCGTTCTACATCAATGCTTATCTCTTCTGGACACAGTAAATCATCTAATAGTTTAAAATTAAGTATTTTTACTCCTAATGTTATGATGATTTCAAAGCATGCTGATGGTTCTCTGAATCAGTGGCTGGTCAGTTTTGCTGAGGAATCTGCTTTTTCTACAGTTCTTAGTATTTCTCACAAATCCAGATATTGTGGTCATCGTTTTCATCTGAATGATTTAGCTTGCCACTCAGTATTACCATTATTACTGACAACATCACACCATAACGCATTAAGGACACCAGATGATGATAACCAAAAGCAACCTCATGATATTATAAATATTGAAGAATGTTCTTTGACACAACAAAGTAAAAGTACCATTGATATGGCATTTCAGGATCCCAATGCAGTTTATAGTGAGCTTATTCTTTGGAGGGTTGACCCTGTCGGGCCACTGTCTTTTTCTGGAGGAGTGTCTGAGCTTGCCCGGATTAATTCTCTTCACGTTTCTGCCTTTTCCAATGTGGCATGGCTCCCTGCTCTTATACCCAGTTACTGTCTAGGTAAGCATTCTGATTTTTAGTTTAGTAATTTCAATTTTCTGACATTATTACTAAAAGGTTATATTTTAAATGTTTGAAAATTCATTATAGGTGCATACTGCAACTCTCCTAGTGCGTGCTTTGTAGCTAGTGATGGACAATATCTGAGGTTATATGAAGCAGTTATTGATGCCAAAAAACTTTTATATGAGCTTTCAAACCCTGAAATTTCTGTAAGTATTGGCTTTTAAAATGGTTGAAGTATTTATTCGGTATTTTTAGGTATAGTACTTAATCTATACTTACTTGGCATTTACTAGAATCACGATACATAATTTGTAATAAACATGTTTCTTATTTTTTCGTATTTGTATTGTACCTTTACAGTTATTTTAAGCTAAAGAAACCATTTCATTTATTGAAAAAGTAGAGCCTAGGGAGGGGACATGGCTTATGGTCAAGCACGTGCCTAGCATGTGTGAGGGTCTTGGTTCAGTCCTTGGCACCCCTCAGAAAAATAGTCTGTTCTTTTATATGTTCCTGTGATACTTCTTGGCTAATAAATAAATAAGAACTACTGCTAGAGTAGTATGGAAGTTATGTTGGTTCATCTGTACTTTTTTTTTCTAGGTATGGGTGGTTGAAGTAACAGGAACAAAGTTTGAATCTTAAACCAAAACAAAAAAAATTCCTCAACTTGGGTGTTCAGGCAGAGCTCCTATTAATACTATTGTAAAGCTTTTGCCTTATGAGGGGCATACTTCTTCAAAGCCTAATAGAAGCCTACTACCTACATTGTCTCTGCACTTCCAGCAAACAAACATTTCTGCCGTTTTTGCCTTTGATGTGTATTCTGAGGTAGCCTTTAGCTCTATTTGATCTTCCTGTTTAGGAGATTCTAGCCATCTTCTCAGTTTTCAATTAATATTTTTATTAAGTCTCAGCTTACAGAGTTGGATAGATTCAGTGGTCTGTTTTAATCCTATTTTCTTCCTCAGCTATTTTTAATGCGTGATTTTGCAGAACACAAAGTTTCCCAAAATACACATAATGTATTGTAGTAGAAGTACATATTTTTATCAAGGGGTCTTCTTTTTATCAGGCATTATTATAACTGTTAAGAATTTAGATGTGAACAAAACAGACAGAAATCAGTACCATAGATTTCTGTGGAGGGGAGATATGGTGGTAAAAGACAGTTAAAACATATTAAGAAATACTACAGAGAGGGCTGGGGATTTTGCTCAGTGGTTTTGCCACCTGCTGTGCAAGCTCAAGGACCCAAGTTCGATCCCTGGTACCAAAAAAAAAAAAAAAAAGAAATACTACTGAAAAACAGTGTTGCAAAAGAAGTAGGGTGTGCCAAGCAAACTATGAATCACAGAAAACATCACAGAAAAGGGAACATTTGAGTAAACACTGGAAGGAGGGGAGGGATTTAGATGTGTAGGTAAACGAAGAGTCATCTAGGAGTAGGGATAGCCATTTAAAGACTCTGAAGCCACTGTATGTTGATTGCATAAAGGGAAAACAAGATCATTACAGATCCCTGTAGTAACTTTGGCTCTTACTCTGAATAATGTGGAAAGCATTAAAGAAAATGATAGTATGATATAATTTGACTGAGTTATGTTTTTATTGGGTAATTCTGGAGGTTACATAGATTATAAATGGGAAGTGTAACCAGAGAGACCAATTGAAGAGGCCAGTGTAGTAGTCCAAGAGAGAGACAAAGGTATTAAGAGGTAATAAGAGATAATTGGCCAAATTCTGAGTATGTTTTGAGCATTGAATAGTCATGATTGAACTGGATATGGAATGTGTATGGGAAAAAAGAGGATTGCTCTTATGGATTGTGGGTAGGTATTAGGTAAAGTAGAATTACCATGAGCCGAAATGAAAAAGATTGTAAAATTAGTAGGTTTTGAGGGCTAGGTGAACTGAAGAGGTTGTTTGGATAGGTTAATTTAGAGAGATGCCTGTTTGACATCCAAGACACCCCGTAGGTTAGTCTCTGAAGTTTAGAAGGAACTGTGGTTTAAAGATGTAAAATAGGGAGTTGTCAACAGATAAATTTAAATTTGCAAAGAGGATATTGTGGAGGGAGTATAATTAGAAAACAAAAGTGTTACAAGTCTTGAATGCCAGAGCATTCCATTCTTAAAAATTGTGTGAATGCAGTGTGTAATAGAAGCCAAATGAAGAAAGTATTTTAAGAAGGGAGAAATCACCAGGCTCACATGCTGCTGATAGAGCAAGTATGATAAAGATTGAGAAATGATTATTGACTATAACAATGTGAATTTGACTAGAGCATTTAAGCCATGAGTAAATCAGTGAATCAGCCTATATAGTTTGTCAACTTGTTTCTTTAGCGGTATCTTTCCTAGCTCAAAATTAATACTTAAAAATCACTGCTTCTTCAGGGATTTAACTCAGTGGCACCGCACCTGCCTTGCAAGCGCAAGGTCGTGAGTTTGATCCCTGGTACCAAAACAAAAATTACTGTTTCTTAGAAAATACCCAGGAAGTTTAAGTCAGTCTTTCACATTCATGGGTAGTAAATATTTTTCTCTCTTAGCAGTGACCAAGTATTACTTTTGTTTTTCTCTGTACCAATTGAGCTGTAACTTTTACTCATTTTTATGTAATCTCCATTGAGTTAAAATCCTAGAATGTTTATAGTTGAAAAGGGCTGGGCCAGGGATTTAGCTCAGTGGTTCTGCAGTTTGCCTCACAAGTGCAAGGTCCCGAGTTCAAGTTTGATCCCTGTACAAAAAAAAAAGAAAAGGGGGCCAGGGATTTAGCTAGTGGCACCGTGCCTCCCTTGCAAGCGCAAGGTTCTGAGTTCGGTCCCCAGTACCCCTCCTAAAAGAAAAGGGCTGTATTTAGCCCCTTCCTTGAACTTAATTATTTATCTGTTATGCTTGAACTTTCATGTTATTTGCTCGTAATTGCTTTTGAATTTAATTGTTTAGTAAAGGAAATACTAATTTTTTTTTAAAACAGAAATATGTTGGTGAAGTGTTTAACATCGTCAGTCAACAGTCAACAGCCAGGCCAGGATGTATTATCGCATTAGATCCCATTACTAAACTTGTAAGTATTTTTCTGTTACTTAGCATGAGGTAAATATCACGTATGTCAACTTATGTTGGTATTTGTTTACATTCAGCATGGCAGAAAAACTCAGCTGCTTCATGTTTTTCAAGAAGACTTTATTCTGAATGACCTTGAAAAGAAGAGTTTTGGAAAAGACTGCATTTTATCCAGTACAGGTAAAGAATTTTTTATGTAATGAGAAATATAATGTAGAATATGTTAGGCAGTTACTTAGAATGAACTGATAGGTTTCACATTGTCTGTTTAACTTAAAATTGTTCCATTTGGATTTGTGATATTACTTATCATAAAACATTGGCCTTTTCTGTACCTACTTATTCTGAGACAGAATGTTGGTGTGTTGCACAGGCTGGCCTCTGACTCCTGGGCTCCTGTGATCCCCCTGTCTGTTTCCCACATAGCTGGCACTATACGCATGTGCGCATGTGCTACCTCTTGAGGCTCTTCCTCGCCCTCCCTTCTCTCTTCTTTTTCTTTTCCAGTGCTGGAGATTGAACCTTATGTATGTAAGGCAAACTCTTTACCACTGAACTGTATCCCCATCCCTGTATTTTTATTATTTGCAAGGAAAAAGATTAAAAAAAAAATTAAAGGATTTTCTCAGTTACATTTTTTTGAAAAACAATAGAAATGTTTTATAATCAGTGTGTAAATGCTGTTTACATCAGTGGGTTCCTACCTTATTGATGTAGATAACTTGGACCCTTGGCCATTTAGAGATTCATAATTTAAAGAAGTAGCTTAAAATATTAAGTTATAAAGTCCTTAATTTATAAACCAAATATCTTAATTAAAGCTTTTATAGTACAAGTTTAAATTTTTTATTGAACTCTACTACCCAAGTTTAAGTATTAATTTGTATGAAATAAGATAGAGCTAAAACTTCTTAGTTATCAGTTTCAGTTACAGAATCAAACTAAACTCAGAAATAACTATCCTGAAAACTAAAAACCATAAAGCAACTTTGCACTGTGTCAGTACTTTTATGTTGTGAATCCAGTTTCTTACCATTGCTTTTACTTAGCCTTCTGTCACTTTCTCTGGGATTTCATAAATTGTACACTTACATTTCATTCATGTGCTTTTTGTAATTCTGACTGTGATGGAACTATGCTAAAAATGGGGAATAAAGATGTCAGATATAGCACAGAGGATTATTTATATAAATAAAAATGTTCTTTATATTGAACTACTAAGAGTGTTAATGTTAACAATTCAGATTTCTTTAAATTAAAAATTTTAGAGAAAGAAATTTTTGTGCTGCAGGTTGAATTATTTCTGAGTTCATCTTTCTAACATTTTCTTTTCTAAAATTCTTTTTAAGAATTCATCTAATATTTCCAGGAAATTGCAAATGATTTTGGCTCAAACTATTAAGTTTCTCAGAAAAAACCCGAGGAGTTATGGTGTTATCTTCTTTGGCTCAATGCTCAAGAAGAAAAATGTTTTTCAGATATTATTATTGAGGCTATCTTTCTTTTGTTTTTTTTTTTTGATTGTTTAACTGATTTTAATAATGATGTAAGCCCCTAGAATTGGTATAATCATTATGCAAAATACATAAATGAATACTGTCTTCTTTTAAAAATATAAAACAAATAAGCAAGACATGTGAAAATAGGTGAGTTTCCACTAAATATTAAATGAAAACTTTAAAAAAAGAAAGTTTTCCTTTCCATGTCATTTGAAGAAGGGAAATTATCATTTTAAACAATATGAAAGTTTGTTAAACAAATTTATAAAGGTATTATAAAATGTTTAATTTTCATCAGCTTCAAGGTTTATGTTACTGCCGAATTTTGCATATAACTGAACTTTCAAATCTGCTAACACCCGCTGAATTGATTCTACTCTGGATTCTAAGGCAACAGTTTCTTCTTGCACATTTTTCCTTTGCTTCTTCTAACATGTCTTGTGTTTCTTATTGAGAATGGCTAATGAAAACGTCACCAATCTGGTAAGATATCATTAAGCAGTCATCATCTGCGAGCATGATGTCGTCACAAGCATCTTCTAAATTCTGGAGTTGTTTCTTTTTTACTTCTATTTCTTCCTTTAGCTCTGTTATTCTACTCGTATTCCGCGCAAATTTATTTATCTTTTGTTGATCTTCGAAAGTAACATTGACATCTTCTGCAGCAATTTCATGTATTGCCTGAAAATACATATTAAAAAGATGCGCTGAGTTTGATCCCCAGCTGAGCTTCTCGCCAGCTAAGTCACTACACCACTAGCAATCGCTGAGTCCAAGTTTCTCCATCCTCCATGGACTCACGGAGGACGCAGGGGCTGAGGACCGACCCGGGTCGGGTGCGCGCAGGATGCGGGGCCTGCATGCCCCGGCCTCCGGCTCCTCCAGCAGAGGTGGCCCCGAGCCCCTGAGGGTCCTGTCCCCGTGGGGAGGCCCACTGAGACACCGGGACGCCGGCGCCGCGGAGGTGCCTGCGGGGTCTGGGGGTCCAGGGCCTCGGCCGGCTGGCTCGCTTCTGACCCCCCGCGGCCCAGCCCAGCCTCCTCCCGTGCCCCTGTCCGGAGCGCCCGGGGCTATCTTTGTTAATAGTGAAATGATAAGAAATAGGACTGATTTATCCCTTTTTCTCTTAGTGTAATTCCTTGTTCTTTCTTTCCTCTTAATTCTTGTAATTTGACCATACTCTTATAATTTGGCCTAACTCATTTAGGCCATATTATCAAAGTTATTTTTTCATTTAGCTATGGTTATCTTTCTTATATTCCTTTGAAAAATTTTTTCCTGTGCAAATTTAAAACAGGAAAATCTTGGTTTGGAAAAAGTCCTAGTAATAGTTGCTTTCTGTTTTTATATAGTCTATGATTTATATATGTTAATGTAATTTTTATTTCTATTTTATATAATGTATATTTTTACATAATTTTGTATAATGCATATTTATACATAATTTGGAATATGCAGAATAGCTTATGAAAATTTGGGTGAAAATTTGTTAAAATTTGGGTAAAATTTGTTAAAAAGACAATAATGAACCACCGATTTTAAAAAGATGCACTCGTTTTGAGCATCTTAGGTGCTCTTTAAACTTGTAGTGTGGACTAAGAAAAATCTTCTTGACTAATATGTTGGAATATGAGTAATTATATTTTAGTTATTCCACAAGCATCATTTATAGGTCATTTTTATTTTGGAGCTTAATTTGAAAGATTTTGGCAACATGATATCATTATTGACTTAAAGTATGTATCACATAGTTTCTGCTCAGAAATTTCCCACTAAATGTGATATGTTCTATGTGGACATTTCATAGTGGTGACTGTGCTATATGACTTCTTAAGCCTATGATTTAAAAAATAAAATTTAAGCATGGGATGCACATCATTGTTAAAATTTTAAGTTACAAATTCATGTGCTGAAGAAGGTGAGTGCTTTCTGTAATATCACTTTGGATTTTTTTGGTACTGGGGATCAAACCCAGGATCTCACGCTTGCCAGGCAGGTGTTGTGCTGCTGAGCTAAATCCCCGGCCTGTAGTATCACTTTGCACTTGGAACCCTAGATTAAAAACTCTAAATACTCTCTCTCTTAAAAGTTCAGTTATTTAACTTGGTATTTTTAGTAAGTTGTATCACTTTTCTCTGTTAACAATAAAAAATACCATTAATATCAACAGGTAGCTCGCCTAATGGATTTTCTGAAAAGTTCTACTTAGTTGTAATAGAGTGCACTCAAGAGAGTCGTTCATTGTTGCACATGTGGAATTTACATTTAAAGTCAGTTCCTGTATCATTGGGTGAGTCATTATTGTTTTTGTTTTTTTCTGGTAACTCTTAAGTAGGCCTAAATATTAACAAATTATATGTGATTGGAGAATTCAGGGCATATTTCTTGAAGCTGTTCTTATATAATGGTGATAATTATTATTTTATTCAGTTAATGCAAAATGATTCGTTTTCTTGCTGTAAAGAATGATATTACTACATTGCCATTGCATCTTTTATAAGGCAGTTTTGGATTTTTAAAATGTAGTAGTTTTATTATTTATAGGGTCCTTTCCTAGTTTTTTATTTTCTTAATGTTTTTTAGATGAAAAAATAGATACAAAAATATCTGAAGCAGTTGGGCAGCCAGAAGAACATTATTCTTCTCCAGAGAAGATTCCGTCTCCTTTTTCACAGAAGTATCAGGCTTGCAGAGCAAATCTTCAGAGCACCAGCAAATTGTCTCTGTTTTCAGAAATGGTGTACAGCCAAGAGCTGCATTTGCCAGAAGGAGTTGAGATAATAAGTGTTAAGCCATCCGCAGGTTTGTAAATTTTATGGAAAGAGAATTTTAATCCATGAGTGCTTACCAGATATTTTAAAAATGGGTATTAGAACTACCTGTAAATGTACGTAGAAGCAGAAATGGAAATAATTTTATTTAAGTACCCTAAATTGAAGACTTCAGTTTCTCATTATGCTTTCAAATTACTCTGATAGTTCTGAGCCAGCTCTGTTCTTATTACTGATTTCAAAACAATTCTGTTGTTATTTTGGGAAAAGTTTCTAGAGTGGAGATTGTAACTAAGTTGAACTTTATTTGGCAGCTTCCATAGTAGTGGTAGTGTTGCCTGGAGCCATGTGCACCTGGAGCCATGTGCTAAGAATGAATAAATGTGTGGTACCTGCTCTATATTTATCATCCTTATTTTCTGGCATATTTTCAAAATGTAGTTTCCAGATGAGCAGCTTCAGCATCCCCTGAACTTGTTGGAAATAAAAATTCTTGGTTGCACCCCAGTCACTGATTCACAGGCTCTGGGGTAGGGCTAGTAATCTGAGCTAATAAGCCTTCCAGGTGATTCTCGTGTGCTTACCAGGAATACCAAGACAGAAATTTTTATGTATTTATCTGTATCTTTTATAAATCAGTCAGTCCTTTCATTGTCATAGTCAAAGTGTGGCTTTTTGTTATAAGTCTGGAGTAGAAGGCAGTAGTCTGTTCTAACAATTGCTCTGAGCGATTCTCATGTGCATGAATGATCAAGAACCAGTATCAGAAAAAAAAAAAAAAGAACCAGTATCAAGAATACCAATACAACATCCATCTTTTTGTCACTAATTCTTTCATTTCATGATCAAAAATGTGTTTTTGTTATTATTTCTCTGTCATTTTTTTGACTGATTACTTTGCACACTTTTCAGTTTCCCTTGTTGTCAAGTACGTTCTTTTCAGAATTGTGCAGTTTACAAAAGTTGGGGATATTAACAGTATTCTGATGTTTACATTCTGCTTCTTTGTATGTTTTAATTTTTAAAATTTCAATGTAAGGAAAATTTAAAGTTTGAAAAATAATAACTTTTGCATTGACAGAATTTGAGGAGCTGTTATTATTGGCCAGAACAGCACAGTCTTTGTAACTGAACTTAAATTAAAATAACATGGCAAATACAGAAAACCCAAAGACATTTATCAAGATAACACTATTATTTAACTTTGGCCTAAGTTCTTTGAAAGAAGTCCTAAGCAAAAAGAGATTTGCTTGACAAAAAATGTAGCATATGGTGAAAGCTGGTTTTCTAGTTCTGTTTTTTTTTTTTTTTTAAGAAGTATTGTTGGAAAGGATAAGAACTTTATTCTTTAGTTCAGAGAAACTAATGGATGATGTCAGTTTTATCATTTTGTCATGTTGCTGTATTCCTTGAGGGCTTTTAAAAACGAAACCTGTAATAATTACAGTGAAATTTACCCTTTTTTTGGTACCGGGAATTGAACTAGGGTCCTTGGGCTTGCGCAGCAGGCAGTGAAACCACTGAGCTAAATCCCCGACCCCTGAAATTTACTTTTAAAATGTGATAAAATTTCCTATATAATGTGTTCACATTGTAATTAGTAGTTCATGTGTAATAGTTTAGGCAGAAGCCAATAAACTGTAAATCACCCACTTGTTGTAAATGTTTGAATGAAACACAGCCTTACTTGTTTGCTATTGTATGTACATGCTTGGTCCTACACTTGCAGAGTTGAATAGTTGCAACAAAGACCCTGTGGTGTTGGTAAAGCCTAAAATAGTTATTACTATCTGGCCCTTTAATTTTCCTGATCTCTGATTTAGAAAACTAATAGTATATGATTATTTAAATATGAGCAAATGTTAAGTTCCATTTAGGAATCTTCTAAACATCAGTTATATTAACAATACCTTAATCATTAAGGGCTCTGTAAAGTGATCACTTAGGGAAAAGTGTGGGCCATTCACATTTTATTGAAAACTGTGAAGAAGGAGCCATGGAATATTGACTGATTTTAAAAAATGTATTGATACCTTTAAAATGAGATTTTTTTGGGGGGGGGGTACCGGGGATTGAATTTGGGACCTTGGCACTTGCAAGGCAGGCGCCGGAACCACTGAGCTAAATCCCTGGCCCTTTAAAATGAGATTTGTAATGTATGAAACTAGCAGGGTTGTAAAATGAATGCTGGATTCAGAATCAGGGTAAGAATTCAAGTTTTCATTCTGCCTTCATCTAGTTCTTTGATTTAGGCACAAGATACTTAATATATTTGGTCAAGGGTCTTTATAAATTCAGGAATTGAAGTAAATTTTCTTAGTATCCTTTCAGCTCTAGGTTTCTGTGATACCTTTTTATATACCTTTTTGTGTCATTATAAGCATTTTATTGTTCTAGTTCATCTTTAAACTGATACAGACTGTCATGTTCTTACTAGCAGTTGATAAAAATGGATTAAAACCTTTAATACATAAAAACACACGTGATTAACCAAACTTGACATTGTGTTAATGGATTATTTTTCTTTTAGGACATCTGAGTAGTTCTTCTCTATATCCTGTGTGCAGTGCTCCTTATTTATTGGCAACTTCATGCTCAGATGAAAAAGTAAGATTTTGGAGATGCAGAGTAACAGATGGAGAATCTACCACGTCAAAGAATGCAAAAATGGATCTTGCATACATTTGGGAAGAATGGCCATTACTTATTGAAGATGGACTCCAGAGCATTAGTAGTATAACTGTACCTGGTAGGCCTATAGAAGTTAGTTGTGCACATACAAATCGTTTAGCTGTAGCTTATAAGCAGCCTTCATTTAATAGTAGATCTTCTCAGGACTTTGTGATGCATGTAAGTATTTTTGAATGTGAATCCACAGGAGGTTCATGTTGGGTTCTTGAGCAGACAATTCATTTGGATGAGTTAAGCACAGTTTTGGATTCTGGCATTAGTATTGATAGCAATTTAGTGGCCTATAACAAACAAGAGGCATATTTGTTCAATAAAGAAAGTATCACATCCAACACAAAGCATTTAGTTCACTTAGACTGGATGTCTAGAGAAGATGGTTCTCATATTCTGACTGTAGGAATTGGGTCAAAACTTTTTATGTATGGACCCCTGTCTGGCAAGGTACAAGAACAGACTACTAAGGAAAGCCTGGCATTTCCTCTGTGGGAGAGTACTAAAATTGTGCCTCATTCTAAATTTGTGTTATTACGAAGTGTGGACTTGGTTTCTTCTGTAGAAGGCTCCCCACCTTTTCCTGTGTCTTTATCGTGGGTCAGGGATGGCATCCTTGTGGTAGGAATGGATTGTGAAATGCATGTGTATTCCCAGTGGCAGCCATCTTTGAAACAAGAACTTGTTATAACAGAGTCATACAGTGGAAGCACTCCTTCTATACCGAGTTTAATAAAACAGAGTAACTCATCAAGTTCTGGGTTACATCCTCCAAAGAAAACTCTGACTCGATCCATGACTAGTCTTGCACAGAAAATCTGTGGGAAGAAAACTGCATTTGATCTTTCAGTGGATATGGAAGATTCAGGTCTTTTTGAAGCAGCTCATACGCTTTCCCCAACTTTACCTCAGTACCATCCCTTGCAGCTTTTGGAACTCATGGATCTTGGCAAAGTTCGGAGAGCAAAGGCAATCTTGTCACATCTTGTCAAGTGCATTGCTGGGGAAGTTGTGGCTCTGAATGATGCTGAGTCCAATCATGAACGCCGTCTGAGGTCTCTCACCATCAGTGCTAGTGGAAGCACTACCAGGGATCCCCAGGCATTCAACAAAGCTGAAAATACAGATTATACAGAAATAGATTCCGTTCCTCCACTTCCTTTATATGCTTTACTTGCGGCAGATGATGATAGCTATTACTCATCTTTGGAGAAATCTAGTAATGACAGTTCCCTAAATAAATCAAACCAAATGTTGAAAGAGAATTATGATGAGCTTTTTCAGATTGCAGCTCTGATGCCTGATGTTCAAGCGTTAGAGACAGATGAAGAAAATACAAAGCCTAGAGTTATTGACCTTTCACAATACAGTCCAACTTATTTTGGACTTGAGCATGCTCAAGTTCTTTCTGGGCACTTACTTCATTCTAGTTTACCAGGCCTCAGTAGGATGGAACAGATGTCTTTGATGGCCTTGGCAGATACAATTGCAACTACAAGCACTGATATTGGAGAAAGCAGAGACAGAAGCCAAGGTAAAACTAAATTCTTGGCAGGATTGGAGTAAAAACTAATGATAATAGTTTTACTTTTTTTCATAGAAAAGAAATTTTTTTTTAAAAAATTGCTGCCTTGACAGCAAGTTTAAGTCCAATAAATAGTATCTATTCCCATAAATCATAGTACTGTGAGAAACCGCACAGACTCATTATGCTAGTCATTTGTACTGTTTGTTTTATTAAAGTTATTTTAGACACCTGAAAATAAGATAGTTTCTTTTGTTTTCCTCATGTTGTAATAATGCACTATTAAAATTATGTTTTTAAAATACTGTTTTTTAAAAAAATTAGCATTAGTATATACTCCTATGTGGAATAAGAAATATGAGCATTAGCTTAGTAATTATTAGATCTTTTCCTTATCAGAGAGCATTACTTTTCAGACTCTTGAGTTATGAACAAATTTGAATGGGGAATTCTTATTAAACCTCAAATGATGACACTATTAGGAATATGAAGTGAAAAATGCACTTCCACATTGCCAGTGTAGTCTTTTGGGCGACCAAGCTTGCAATAGTAATATAGTTTTTGCATATGTATCCAATAACTCTAGTCTGGAGGAACATTCAAATTAGCAGGTCCAGGACTGGGGATTTAGTTCAGTGGTTCCGGCGCCTGCCTCACAAGTGCAAGGTCCCAAGTTTGATCCCTGGTACCCCCCCCAAAGAAACAAAACAAAAATCTAACATGTCCAAAGGAAAAAAATAATCTCTACTAAAATAATCCCAATTGTGTATCTATAAGTAGGATGCATCCTATGAACTAAGAAAGGTAAGGAGTAAATTTGAGATAAAAATAATAAATTCTAAATTAAGGAAAAAGCTGACAATTTTCTTAATAAATACTAAGAGGATTACTAATAGATATTAATTTTGATGTGACTATGTTATTGATGTTTGGTTTTTAACTGTTCAAAGTAAAAGATGATGCCCTGCTTACTGTATAACATTTCCTGTCGGTGTTAGCAGCAAATTATTGGGATGGGTATATGATTTGAATCAATGTAAATATATATATGTATATGTCAACTATAAAATATGCCATGAAGGGGATTAAACTATTTAAAAATTCAGTTACATTTTAATTTAAATAAGATTCAGATCAGATGTTTTTTATTTTTCCAATTAAAGTACTTAATTATACTACTTTTTCCTATAATGTAAAATTTCATAGAAGAAAAGATATATTAGAAACTATGTTAGTCTGCTAAAACTATTTTGCTGCGTTTTTTTTTTCAGTTTAAGAATGTTTTGTCCCTGTATCTGATACTGTGACATATGTTGATTGTCAGAACTTTTTAGTATTGTATTATATTTAGAAAATGGTATTTTACAAATTAAAAATCTTTTTTTGCCTTTGGTTTTAGGTGGAGAAACTCTTGATGAGTGTGGGTTAAAATTTCTTTTGGCTGTTCGACTGCATACCTTCCTTACAACTTCCCTTCCAGGCTATCGAGCTCAACTGCTCCACCAAGGTAATTTTGATAATAATCTATTCTGGGGAAGTAAACTAAGTTTTTCCCCAACCCATGATAGTGATGATGAGTTTGACACATTCATAGTTTCTTTTATTATTAAAATGTATATTTCCTCTTAATCTTCTTTGACATTGGAATTTTTAATGATAGATGAAAAGAGTTAATGAAGAAATGGATGTTTGGGAATTGGATATTCCCTTATGCGTGATGTATTAATAAATTAGTATTATTTCTAATTTTTTTTAGATTGTATTTGATATTTATCTAAATTCAGCTTTCCTCTACAAAATTGAGTAACACTTTTGTAAAAAAATACATGTTCAAATTTAAATGTTTTATAAAAACAATGCAGAACAGAGACAGTAAAAATTCATCTATCCCCCAAACTGATAAATTAATGTGAATTTCAGATATTAGTTTAATAAAATTAGTGTATTTGAGATATTCTTACAAACTGCTAGGACTTTACTTAATTAAATCAGAATATTTATGGGTCAGTACCCTGGAACTTGAGAAGAGAGAGAGCTGGTTCCCAGTGCCACAGTATCCATAAGTGTAGACAGTGCTTTTGGGACTGGAGGTTGACCTGTGCTCATTGGTCTCTGTCTCTTGGTCTCTCTTCTCACTGCTTTCTTCCTCCCCCATTTGTAAAATATAAAAGTCAAAAATAAGTTCTTTTAAAATCTTTATTATATATTGACAGATAATTTTGAATATTTATGAGGTACAAAGTGATACTAGGAAATATGTATATAAAAGAGAATGATTAATTCTTAGCAGTTTTGAAATGTACAGTATATTGTTACCAAGGGTGGTCACCACGCTGTACTTGGGAACTTACTCCTATCTAACTGAAATTTTGTATCATTTAAGCATTCTCTCTCCACCTCTCTGATTCCCCAGTACTTCATTATTATATACACATTTTCTTTAGCCTATTTATCCATTGATATAGGTTGATTCTATTACTGAGTTATTGTGAGTAAAGCTGCATTGAACATAATAGTGCAGGTATCTCTTAAACATACTAACCTCAGATTTTTTCGATATATACTCAGAGGTGGTATAGCTGGATCATACGTTAATTCTATCTGTACAGTTTTCCATAGTGCCTGTAATAATTTACATTCTGACCAATAGTGTGCAAGGCTTCCCTTTTCTCCATGTGCTTGCCAACACTTGGTATTTTTTGTCCTTTAGGTAATAGCCATTCTAACATGTACAAGGTGGTTTCTCATTGTGATTTTACTTTGCACTTCCTTGATGATTTAGTGATGTTGAACATTTTTTTCATCTATCTGTTGGCCAGTAACATATCCTTCTTTAGATTAATGTCTGTTCAGGTCATTTGTTGATTTTAAATTGAGTTACTTGTTTTTTCCCTTTTATATTTTAGATGTTAACCCTTGTTAGATATATAGATCGCAGATATTTTCTCCTAATCTGTTGGTTGTCACTATACTCTGTTTATTATATCCTTTGCTTTCCAGAAGCTTTTAAGTTTTGATGTATCCCCATTTGTCTGATTTTGTTTTAATTGCCTGTGCTTTGGAAGCCGTATTCAGTCAGTGTCACAGAGCTTTTTACCTATAATTTCTTCTAGTAGTTTTACAATTTTAGGCCTTATGTTTAAGCCTTTAATCCATTCTTGGTGAATTAATCCCTTTATCATTATGTGATGCCTTTCTTTATCCCTGATAACTTTTCTCACTTTCAAGTCATCTTCATATGACATGACTATAGGCATTCCATCAGTGTTAATATGTACATTTTTCTCTGTTCATTTACTTTTAGTCTATATGTGTTTACATTTAAAGTAGGTTTCTTATAGACAACAACATATAGCCGGGCCTGGTTTTTGTCCCACTTGACAAGCTCAGTCTTTCAGTTGGTACATTTAGACTTTGACTATTCAAAGTGAATACTGACGTAGTTAATATCTGCTATATCCCTTACAGTTTTGTGGAATATAATAGATCTTTGTTGCTCTTTCTTCTTACTTATTTAATTCAGGCATCAAATTGTACATATTTTGGGGATATAATGTGGCATTTTAATATGGTACGTGTATACAATCTTTAGCGATGAGATCAGGGTGCTTGGCATATTTATCAACCTAGACCTAAATAATTTCTTTGTATTGGGTACAATTCAAAATCTTGTTAGTTTCTTTGAAATATTCAATTAATTATCATCAGTTTTTTGATCCTATTTTTGTCTTCTCTTGTGAGTGTGTTTGTTTTATGATACTGAGTGTTGAACCCAGGTACACCCAACTACTAAGCTACGTCCCAGCTTCTTTTATCTTTTATTTTGACACAGGGTCTTTCTAAGTTGCACAGACTAACTTCAAGCTTGTGATTCTCCTGTTTCAGCCTCCAGAGTAGTTGGGATTACAGAGGTGTGCCAACATGCCTAGCTTAGTGTTGTAGTTTTAATGAGCATTATTTATATGATTTCATTATTTCTCTTTTATCATTTATCTCTTTTTGTTTTTACTTTTGTTAGTATTGCCCTGAAGTTTGCATTGTACATTTACACTTTCAAGTAAGACTGTCATATAATTTTCAAGTCCGGTTTCAGTGGCACTGTACTTTTTTTTTGGTACTGAGGATCAAACTTGGGACCTTGCGCTTGCAAGGCAGGCGCTAGAACCACTGAGCTAAATCTCCAGCCCTAGGCACTGTACTTTTTCACAGGTAATGAGAATACCTTTTTTAAAAATAAATTTTATTTTATTTTATCCCATTTCCCCCCTCAAGCCCATTCCCCTCCCTATGTACAAAAGCTTTGTTTCCATTTTTTTCTTTTATTCTCACTTTTTTCTTGTCCCTTCCTTCCTCTCTCCCTCTTCCCTTGTTCCCCTGCCCATTTGAACACTCTTCCCATTTCCCAACATGCGTTATACATCTCAGTCCTTTTTTCCACATTCAGTTTCTCACACCGGAGAAACAATGCAATATTTAAACATGTGTCAGATTTATTTCACTTAAGAATATGGTCTCAAGGTCCATCCATTTAGCTATAAATGTCTGAAGCACATCCTTCTTTATGACAGAGTAGTACTCTATAGTAAAAAAAAAAACACCAAATCTTCTTTATCCACTCATCAGTTGATGGGCATTTGGGCTGTTTCTGAGATTTAGCTATTACATACCGTGCTGCCATAAACACGGATGTGCGTATATCCCTGTGGTATGATGCTTTTAATTCTTTCAGGAAGATACCAAGAAGAGGTTTACCTGGGTCAAATGGGACCTCTAGTTTTAGTTTTTTGAAAAATCTCCACAGTGATTTCCGCAGTGGTTGTACCAGTATAAACGCCCACCAACAGTGGAGAAGGGTTCCTTTTTCCCCACAACCCCTCCAGGATTTGTTATTCGTTAATTTCTTGACAGCAGCCATTCTTTCTGGAATGAGATGGAATCTCAGTGTTGTTTTAATTTGCATCTCTCAAATGACCAGTGATGTTGAACATTTTTTCATATATTTATCTGCCATTTCTAATTCTTTATCTGAGAAGTGTCTTTATTTCAGATGCCCATTTTTCATCGGGTCTTTAAATTTGGGAGGTCTGATTTTTTTTTTTTTAAGTTCTTTATATATTCTAGATAATAGTCCTATAACTGAATAGCTGGTAAAAAATTTTTCTTCCTCTGTGGGTTATCTCTTCGCTTTGTTGGTGGTTTCTCTTGCTATGCAAAAGCTGTTTAATAAGATGAGGTCCCAGTTTCTGATTTTTTTGTAGTATTTCCCGTGCAGTCTGAGTTTTGTTCATGAAGTCTTTGCCTACACCTGTGTCTTCAAGCGTTCTACGTATTCTCTTTTGCAGCAGATTTAGTGTTTCTGTTTTAATATTTAGATCTTTGATTTATTTCAATTTTAGGTTAGTGCACGGTGAAAGACATGGGTCTAGTTTCAATCTTCAGCAGGTGGAAAACCAGTTTTTCCAGCATGATTTATTAAAGAGGCTATCTTTCTTCCAGTGAAGATGTTTGGCTCCTTTGTCAAAGATAAGGTGGTTGAGTATGTCTGGAGTTGTTTCTGCATCCTGTAGTCTGTTCCATTGATCCTCAGGTCTGTTCTTTTGCTAGTATCATGGTGTTTTTATTACCATAGCTTTGTAGTATAATTTAAAGTCAGGGATTGTAATACCCTCTGCCTTGCCTTTGTTGCCCAGAATTACCTTTGCTATTCTAGATCTCTTCTGGTTCTAAATGAATTTTAGGATAGTTTTTCTAATTCTGTGAAATACGCTGTTGGGATTTAGATTGGGATTGCATTGAATCTGTATAACAGTTTTGGTAGTATGGCCATTTTCACTATATTGCTTCTTCCTATCCAAGAACAAAGGATATCTTTTTGGCTGGGGACTCTTTTAATTTTCTGATGTCCTCTTCAATCTCCTTTTTCAAGAATACTGTAGTTTTTAATGTAAAGGTCTTTTACTTCTTTTGTTAGATTGATTCCTAGGTATTTCATTTTTTTGGATGCTATTGTGAAAGGGATTATGTCTCTTAATTTCTCTGTTCATGAGTCTGTTAGTTATGTACAGGAAGGCTATTGACTTTTGAGTGTTGACTTTGTATCCAGCTATGCCACTGAATTTGGTTATTACATCTAGGAGTCTTTTGGTGGAGATTTTGGGGTCTTCTATGTAGAGTATCATGTCATCCACAAATGATGATAATTTAACTTCTTCCTTTCCTATCTTTCTTTCTTTTATTTCTTTCTCATGTCTAATTGCTGTGGCTAATGTTTCCAGAACTATATTGAACAGGAGTGGTGATAGTGGACATTCTTGTCTTGTTCCTGATTTTAGAGTGAAAGCTTTCAGTTTTTGACCATTTAGTATTATGTTGGCTGTTGGTTTGTCGTAGATGGCTTTTATTAGATTGAGATAAAATCCATCTGTACCAATTTTCTGTAGGGTTTTTGTCATGAATGGGTGTTGGACCTTGGCAAATGCTTTTTCTGCATCTGTTGAGAGGATCATA